AGCATCCTCCGACTTTGCTGCTTGTTCAAAACAACACCAACAACCAAAGCAAAGAACCGACCGACATCTCTTTCATGTTGCAGGCAGAATGCACAAATAATTTGTTCAGGTAATGGGAAGGCCAGGTCCAGTTGCCAAATACATTTGGAAGACTCCTTGCTTTCCAATGCCAATAGACGCTTTTCCGCTGCTGCAAAGCCGTCCAGGATGCAGAAAACAACTTTTCAGCAGTAGAAAAGCTTATTTTAGCATTCTCCACATTGTCTGGTTTGGTTTGGTGTGGAAAAATGTTGAGGGTTGAGGCGAGACCGCCTTTTCCACACCAAACCAGACAATGTGGAGTGGAGAATGCCAAAATAAGCTTTTCTGCTGCTGAAAAGTTGTTTTCGGCATCCTGGACAGCTTTCTAAGGAAGCTGGCCCTTTCAAGCAGGAATTCGTCATTGGAAATGGAAACGAAAGCTGAGAAGCTAGAACTAAAACCCTAAACCAAACCAGACAATGTGGAGAATGCCAAAATAAGCTTTTCTGCTGCTGAAAAGTTGTTTTTGGCATCCTGGACAGCTTTGTAAGGAAGCTGGCCCTTTGATACAGGAATGCGTCATTGGAAAAGGAAACGAAAGCTGAGAAGCTAGAACTAAACCTGTAAACCCGAAACCGCAAAACCCTAACCCTGATACTTAATAATTAAACCCGAAAGCCTGACCCCTCAACCTCTTCCACACCAAACCAGACAATGTGGAGAATGCCAAAATAAGCTTTTCTGCTGCTGAAAAGTTGTTTTTGGCATCCTGGACAGCTTTGTAAGGAAGCTGGCCCTTTGATACAGGAATGCGTCATTGGAAAAGGAAACGAAAGCTGAGAAACTCAAACTAAAACCATAAACTCTAAACCGCAAAACCCTAACCCTGATACTTAATAATTAAACCCGAAAGCCTGACCCCTCAACCTCTTCCACACCAAACCAGACAATGTGGAGAATGCCAAAATAAGCTTTTCTGCTGCTGAAAAGTTGTTTTCGGCATCCTGGACAGCTTTTGTAAGGAAGCGGCGCAAAAAGGGGGAAATACGTTATGTATCTCCCCCTTTTTGCGACTGTGTGGCAAAACCGCATAAGGGGGAGGGAGATTCGATGTTCCAACATACATTGTACATTCGGAATCAGGACCTGTGCTTTGTTTGGCATGCATAATGTTTTGTGAGTTAAGCTCTCATTCTCGGAGAAATTTCGGATAAGCTCTGGCGCTCGGAGCAAGGAGAACAAGCTAAAACCCGAAAGCCTGAACCCTGAACCTTTTCCACACCAAGCCAGACAATGTGGAGAATGCCAAAATAAGCTTTTCTGCTGCCGAAAAGTTGTTTTCGGCATCCTGGACAGCTTTGTACAAAAGCTCGCCCTTTCATGCAGGAATTCGTCAACCTGTTCCACACGAAACCAAAGCTGAGAAACTAAGGCGGTCTCGACTCGCCTCAACCCTCAACCTTTTTCCACACCAAACCAAACCAGACAATGTGGAGAATGCCAAAATAAGCTTTTCTGCTGCTGAAAAGTTGTTTTTGGCATCCTGGACAGCTTTGTAAGGAAGCTGGCCCTTTGATACAGGAATGCGTCATTGGAAATGGAAACGAAAGCTGAGAAGCTCAAACTAAAACCATAAACTCTAAACCACAAAACCTTAACCCGGATACTTAATAATTAAACCCGAAAGCCTGACCCCTCAACCTTTTCCACACCAAACCAGACAATGTGGAGAATGCCAAAATAAGCTTTTCTGCTGCTGAAAAGTTGTTTTCGGCATCCTGGACAGCTTTGTAAGGAAGCTGGCCCTTTGAAGCAGGAATTCGTCATTGGAAATGGAAACGAAAGCTGAGAAACTAAGACGGTCTCGCCTCAGCCCTCAACCTTTTCCACACCAAACCAGACAATGTGGAGAATGCCAAAATCAGCTTTTCAGCTGCTGAAAAGTTGTTTTCGGCATCCTGGACAGCTTTGTACACATTCCTGTATCAAAGGGCCAGCTTCCTTACAAAGCTGTCCAGGATGCCAAAAACAACTTTTCAGCAGCAGAAAAGCTTATTTTGGCATTCTCCACATTGTCTGGTTTGGTGTGGAAAAGGTTGAGGGGTCAGGCTTTCGGGTTTAATTATTAAGTATCAGGGTTAGGGTTTTGCGGTTTCGGGTTTACAGGTTTAGTTCTAGCTTCTCAGCTTTGGTTTCCATTTCCAATGACGCATTCCTGCTTCAAAGGGCCAGCTTCCTTACAAAGCTGTCCAGGATGCCGAAAACAACTTTTCAGCAGCTGAAAAGCTTATTTTGGCATTCTCCACATTGTCTGGTTTGGTGTGGAAAAGGTTGAGGGTTGAGGCGAGTCGAGACCGCCTTAGTTTCTCAGCTTTGGTTTCGTGTGGAACAGGTTGACGAATTCCTGCATGAAAGGGCGAGCTTTTGTACAAAGCTGTCCAGGATGCCGAAAACAACTTTTCGGCAGCAGAAAAGCTTATTTTGGCATTCTCCACATTGTCTGGCTTGGTGTGGAAAAGGTTCAGGGTTCAGGCTTTCGGGTTTTAGCTTGTTCTCCTTGCTCCGAGCGCCAGAGCTTATCCGAAATTTCTCCGAGAATGAGAGCTTAACTCACAAAACATTATGCATGCCAAACAAAGCACAGGTCCTGATTCCGAATGTACAATGTATGTTGGAACATCGAATCTCCCTCCCCCTTATGCGGTTTTGCCACACAGTCGCAAAAAGGGGGAGATACATAACGTATCTCCCCCTTTTTGCGCCTGTGTGGCGAAAGCGACCAAACGAGGAGATAGTCTTTCATCCGTATAATATTTACGAAGAGAATGTCTTCTTATCGTTTTTTCGGTGACAGCGCAAAAAGGGGGAGCCTTAAGGGCAAAAAGGGGGAGATACGAAACGTATCTCCCCCTTTTTGCGGCTTTGACGCAAAGACGAAAATCAGCAGACTGCAATATACATTCCCCTGGTCTCCGAATCCTAACGTCCCGCTTAACACAGAGCTTTACGCAGAGTTCCGATACTCAAAAAGGGGGAGATACATAACGTATCTCCCCCTTTTTCCCCGAGCGGTCCTGGTTAACGCAGAGCTTAACACAGAGTTCCGGTGCTAAAAAGGGGGAGATACATAACGTATCTCCCCCTTTTTCCCCGAGGGGTCCAGCTTAACGCAGAGCTTAACGCAGAGATCCGGTGCCTAAAAGGGGGAGATACATAACGTATCTCCCCCTTTTTCCCCGAGCGGTCCAGCTTAACGCAGAGCTTAACGCAGAGTTCCGGTGCTAAAAAGGGGGAGATACATAACGTATCTCCCCCTTTTTCCCCGAGCGGTCCAGCTTAACGCAGAGCTTAACGCAGAGATCCGGTGCCTAAAAGGGGGAGATGCATAACGTATCTCCCCCTTTTTCCCCGAGCGGTCCAACTTAACCCAGAGCTTAACGCAGAGTTCCGGTGCTAAAAAGGGGGAGATACATAACGTATCTCCCCCTTTTTCCCCGAACGGCAGAGCTTAATGCAGAGCTTAACACAAAGTTCCGATACTCAAAAACGGGGAGATATCACATAATCACATACGTAAACTTGTGTCCTGGGACTCCTAGTGCTGCTGCTTTTTCTGCTGCTGCTGCGGCTTCTCCTGCTGTCTTATTCACAATGTGACGTTGTGATTAGAAAAGAAGTAAAATGGGGATGCATGCGAAACAACAAGGTCGTGAAGCATCGTCATCATCATCGTGGCCCCGGCCCCAACGGCCCCGGCCCCAACGGGTGTTGCAGGGAGATCTTGCCTCAAAAGAAATTAGACGGACCATGTATATAGCTTGGAAGCTCATATTAGACACATCATAACGTTTCTCTACCCTTTTGCTTTGAGTGCTTGTGCTGTCCATTAGTCCACTCCAGTCCGGACAGACTGGAGATCCATGACGATATCACTTGGTGATTGGAGACAGCATTGACAGTGACAGCATGGATGTATCCGCGAATTCTGCGAGCACTGTGGCTGCGATCTGTTGTAGGACCAGGATCAGGGTTCCAAGATTCAAGATTCAACAGGACAGAATCAGAATAGAGAAACCGAAGCACCCTAGTTATGGCGAAGTACACATCAGTGAATGGCTGTAGAGACAGCAAAGATATTCAGATGCTCACTTCACCTCCACCAAGCTTCTTGCAGCTTTTTAGTGCCTCTGGCTGTGTGAGCCGTGAGCGACTTCTGGCAGGAGTGCTTGCTGTTTCAGAATTTGAGATGTATTTCCAGAGATCGTGCGAATGCTGCTAGTATTCGGCCTGGCAGTGCAGTGCAGGAAAAGCATGGCGACCTCGTTCGAAGGCAAGGCGGTGCCCAACTTGGGCAGCCAGACAGTGGAGGAAGCCATGCGGCAACATCGTGCATTTGATCCATGGTCCGTGAAGCCAGGCCACACCCTGCTGAAATCACCCTGTCGAACATGCAATTGTGGCAACCGGAATAGGGCTTTTCAGACGGCGGGTAGCTCTGCTGCACGTGACTTGGCCCACTGTACAAGGACATTTCCAGTTCTCTGCCTTTGCAAAGCCCACCAAAGACGGTGACGGTGACAGCATGGATGTTGTCGACACCACCGCGCCCTCGCCGTCGCCCTCTTCCGCGGAACTTCCAAGAACGTTGCCGCTGTCTTGTTTTTCCGAGAAGTTTAGCTCAAGGCTGGGCGGCAACCGCAGCTTGTTGATTCAAGTTGATAAATGCAATGTTGCAGTTCTGTGACGTGTAAACATGTCGGTGTATTGATAGCATCGATCCCTTGGCTAAGGTATTGGCGCGGCAGAAGACCTCCTTCGATGTTTCAGAGATGGCTTTTCGAAGTCGGCCATGGCGAGGCTGGTGATGCCACATTCGCAGGTGCGGAGCTCTTGTTTTCCATTCTTGCTTTGCTTCTTCATGTCTTATTGAAGTCCAGTCTTTCTGACTTCTGACTTGAAGAACCTTGCACACTCAGGGCATGCCATTTGTTTGTCCGGATGGTTTCTTGCCGAACCCAGCATGGGCATCCTTGCACGCCATCAAGGCTTTGGCGCAAGAACTTCAGCAGGTCCCGTCTGAGGAAAGGACGCCCGCCCACGTGGACGTCCTCGCGATCTTCGAGAATGGCGTGGACGTGGAGTGGGTCCAATTCAACACCTTCATGCGCCTTGTCAGAAAGCAGAAAGCACACTCGGTAAGTCTGCCAAAGTAGAAGGAGAATTCTTCAATTCTTTCGTGTCCTCGCAGCAGCTGTTGATGTCTCACAGGACACTACTCTTGATTCTTGATTCTCATTGTGAGAGTTGCTGAACAGCCGAGGGAATGGGTGATCCACCTCGAAGCGGACTCCGTGAAGAGGGAGAAGTCCAGCAAGGTGAGATGTGTCATCCAAGCCAGGGGCTGGGGCTGTACTAACATGTGTACACCCAGAACATGTCCACTTTTCACAGAGCTGCACAGTGTCACACTGCTCCATTGGAGTCACTCGCCACACAGTGCAGGGAGTTCTAACTGACGTGACATTGAGAGGCATTCTTCGCTGAGAGCGCCCTCATCATTATGGCACTGGCCGAGAAGCACAACGATGCGAGCACCGAGTACCGCATGCTCTTAAAGATGGGCGAGTACGCAGCGAGGAGGACGTCCGACACCTTGAAGGTGATGAACCACGTGTCGCCTGAGGCAGAAAGTTTAAAGAAGTTGGGCCTGTGTCGTATTCTTACTCCTTGCAGGTCTAGTTCACAGTGTGCCCTGCCCAATGAGGCTTTGCTCTACCTTGTGAACTGGCGCCGATCTACATCGCTGAAGAAAATGGGGATGTGGAAGGAGGTTTTCCTTCTTTCCACAGCACTCAAGGATCTCAAGGGCAAAGTGGTGAAGGCTGGGTAGCTTGCGCACAGAACAGTCCTCTTCTGTGACGTTGCAGCATGACTTCTTTTGAGGGGTGTTGTGCCAGCTCGGTGCCAGCTCGGAGGCATATGACCGAGATGCCGGAGACGATGCACAAGTCATAGCCATGCGGATGGCATGTGCAAAGGTGGACCAAGCAGTGATGGCTTCGTCCTCGTCCTCGGCCTCAAAGGCCACAGCGGGCTCAACTCTGAACTCCCAGGTTTTCTCAGGGATGTGTCAGCATATTGGGGCGGCCATCGCGTACTTTGACTCCTTGCGCGTGCAGTACGCCGCAGTGTACGATGTGCCTCAGCTAAACAGCAGTACTTCAGCATGTCATGAAAGCCGTCCTGAAGTTGTAAGAACAATATTTTGATTTCTCCTGCTGGCTCAGGGCGTCCCCACTGCCCAGAAGCTCGTGAGCCGGGTTTTCTCCGACCCGGTCTTGCTCAGCAAGTTGGCTGGACACATCAACCAGTGCAAGCTGATGCCATCTCTTGCCCGCAGCAGCCAGAATGAGTTCTCCAGCTTGGAACAAGTTCTGCGCCGCAACTTGGAGACAGTGGAGCGCATACAGGCAGAAGCTCTTGAAAGGCAAGCTGCACAGAAGAAGCTCGAGCAAGAGCAAGCTGCAGCAGAGCGAAGGGAGCTGGAGAAAGCGGCGGCGGAGGCGGCGGCCTTGGAAGCCATCCGGCGCAAGAAGGAGGAGGACACAGCAGCTGCTGAACGGAAGAGGCTGGAGGATGAGGCAGCGGAGCAGCGTCGCCAGGAAAAGGAGCTGGAAGAAAAGAGGGCGGTGAGAGCTCGGGTGGACGTGGAGTTCGACCAAATCTTCCATGTCAGTGATGGTGAGACGCTTCCTTCGATGAACCTGAGCTCCAATGAGTCCGTGCGGCTCTGGTTGGTTGGGTTCAAGGCCCACGATCGTGGCCCGAAGAAGCTTGGCATAGGCAGGCTGTGTGCGAGAGTGTATGGATCATGGTGCAAAACCGAACTAAAAACAGACAACTTGCTTTCGCGCAGCGCGCAGAGTCACACGACATTACAGTTACTTCTGCTGCGAGGCACTTCTATGCCACAGATGAACAAGGCTCCGTGGCTCAGCTCTTTCTCACAGACGGACTTCATGGTGCTCAGCTTGGGTCATGACCCGACCTCGCTTATGACGATTCAGGAGGCTCTGTTTCAGGCTAAAGCTGTGGAAGCTTGACCGTTTCGTCCTTAACTAGGACCTAGAGTGGGCCCTTATTCCTTTTTTTAGGCTTTAGGCTCCCTTGTAAGCCCCTTTAAACCAAAAAAGGGCACCCTTTTTATTCCTAGGTTACTCTTGGGTCTGGTTAAAGATGTAAGAAGGACATCTAGATGTAAGTCAACCATTGAGACAATCAGCGTCCAACACACACACACACACACTCACACAGACAAACACACACACAGACACAGTCATACACACACACACCCACACACACACAGTCACACACACACACAGTCATACACACACACACACACACACGCACACACACACGCACACACCGTCACACACCCACACCCGCACCCACACCCACACCCACACACACACACACACACACCCAGCCACACCCACACACACACACACACACACACAGTCACCTCACTTGAGTCGAACCTTGGAAGAAGCAGAGGCCGTCCAGACTGTGGTCCCACAAGTGCTTTGGCAGCCTTACGTTACCTGTGTTGTGCAAAATGCTGCGGCCTCGTCTTCGACTTCGCCCTCCTCGTCCACGTCCGCATCCTCGCAATACGTCGAGTTCCTATGCCTCGGCCGTGGGATGAAGGCAGCTGAGGGCTGGCTGCCAAACGTTTCTTGGCTTTCTGACTCTCCGGTCCAGGCACTTACACGACCCGCATGATGGAGGATTGAATGCTGGTCGTCGTTCGGTTTTCTCATGAGTCCCATTTGTTTCGATTTTCCATGGCTCCAGCGCAGCAGTGGATCAGTTCATCTAAGGTGATCCATGTTCCGAGTGGGTACCCGGATCCCTATCTGCGTGTCTGCTCCTGTTTGAGCTGTGGTACCAGCCCGCAGCCGGATCAGCTGCTGAAGTGCCCGGCAGTGACGGCTCTGGAGAGTATGCTAGTCGTCACAACCGGCCGTGCAAAGAAGTCAAGGACAGAGGGGGATCAGGCGACTGCAACGACAGACGAGGATGACAAGCAGCTCAAGGACAGCGAAGCCGTGGCCGACGAGGATCCAGATGACGCGGAGGCCAGGGATCATTGTTGTCAGCCAGAAGCGCAGACAGTCTAGGTCTAGGTCAGGGTGGAGGGTTCCGGGTTCGAGACTGGTCAGGGGCCGAGAGTCCTGGACATCGATGACAGTCGACATTCGATAGAAGTAGAGAACCCAACCTGCTGCGTAGCCGCTAGCCGTGTTGGGCCACAGACGTTCATTATAATGTGCCGCGGCCAGGCTGCCAAGTTCAAGTTCCTACGCAAAACGTGGCAGAATGGCGTAGCTCCCGAATTCCTCATGCAGCTCTTGGCCGTTGTCCCCGCGCACGTGGAAGCGATCATCTTGCCGTTCCCGCTGCCCTTTGCCACAGGGATCATGAAGGGAGTCCTGGAATGGAACCGCGTCTACGGCAAGCTTCGGGCGTATGAGCTGCAGTTAATGATGAAAGTTGCGCCCAAGGGCATCACGGCCGAAGGCGGCGTCAGCAACATGGACATCAGGCACAACTTCGCCCTTGCCGTGGAGGTGGTCAAGACTGACATGAGCACCGTTGCAGACGCTACTGTCGTCAGCCGCGGAACGCAGAGTCAGAAGCGCCCTCGCCAAAGCCCTCGGAAGCTCAAACTAGAAAGAGATGGCAACGAAGAGGGAGGGCCAGACAAAAATCCTGTTCATGAAGATGATGCTGGCGATGAAGATGGCGAGGAGCTTGACCTGGCGGGCGAGTTATCAATGACTGAGCATGGTTATCAGGGTTGCATCACAGTGGGTGCTGCCCTTTGCAGCAAGGAGCTTGCCAGCGTAGCCCAGGCCGACTCTGACGAAGAAAGTCCTGAGCAAAATGTTATGAGCAAGGAGAGAATGGCGACTTGGCAGTCCAGGAATTGAATTGTCCTGAGCCTTAGGTACGTGATGCACTCACTGAAGAGGTCTCAATCCTGATTTGTCCTTATTGCTTCTTAGTCTTTGGCGTCAACTGAGGTGATTTCTCGTCGCAACTTCTTGGCCATGTCGAAACACAAAGTACAAGTGGCACCGACATCGGCAACGTCGGCCCCGACAGTGGTGGGTGTGGGACTGCATGCGCAAAAGCAGTTGAAAAAAGATACACTCATAGCGTGCAAAGGGCCGCTCGCCTTGACAATGTCCTCGTGGTTTTTAGTTTTTGCTGCTTCCGTGTGGTTTCTGCCAGTAATTAGCTCCAAGCTCAGGCCGTGGTTTGACTCATTGCATGACGCTCGCGCCTTTGCCACGGAGGTCGACTGTCAGCAGCGTATTTGCAGAGTTCGCATTCAGGATGAGTCTGAGATGGTTGAGATGGATGACGAGGACGAGGAGAATCCTCGCCAGGGTGGCAAGTGCAAGTTCATCGTGCTCACAGGCATAGCGGGTTTCGTGAATCACTTCGACGGCCTCGGCCTCGTGCCAAACGCACAGCTGGTTCTGAACCCATCCGCAGGCAGGCAGCTCATTCAAAATACAAAGATATTAATTATTAATGGCCTCTTCTTTGTAAAGGACAGGTTCTGTTTTAAAACCCGACCTGGATCATGTTTGCATGCCTCACGGCAGGACTGGGATCCCACTTGCTTCAGCTGAAAATCTTGAAGCAAATTCCGCGCAACACTGAGATTTTGATTGTTCCTCGTCATGCATTGTGTCATTGTGCCTTCTGGTTCTTCTTCACAGCTTGAGCAGCCTGAACCGAACCCAGACACGGCGACGGGCGGTAGGCAAATCGATCAGTGCCAGTGACCCTTGAGAAATCTTGAATCATGTTGGTTTGACTCTAGGACTACGGCACGGAGATGCAGCTTCCACGTCTTCCTCCTCTTCCACCTCCAGCTCCAAAGGTGAAAAGGAAGGCCAGAGCAAAGAAGCCGCCGACGCCGCGGAAAAATGCGGCGAAAACCGAGGGGGGGGATGAGGCAAAGCCGGAGTTGGAGAAGAAAGAGAAGACGGAAGAGAAGAGTGAGGAGGAAGAGCCGGAGCCAGACGAGGAGGAGGAGAACGAGAAGGACATGAACGATGACGAGGCCAACGGACGGGACATGGAGGAGTGAGAAGACGAATCGATGTCTCAACTCAGCTGCAGCCTCGACTCGGCTGTAGCCTGTAGTCAGTTACGTAGTTTTGGGCTGGTGCCAGTGCTGTGGCTGCTGTGGTTCTGGTTCTCTTGTTCCTAGTCAACAAACAGTCAACGTGTCAACAGCAACAGGCCAAGCAGTCTGAGAGAGGCCAAGAGAGTAGAGTAGAGATTGCAGTCGACAGACGATGCTCTCATTCCTCAAATTGTGAGTTGTGAACCTGACCATGTGCGCTGTATGCACTGGCCCGACTGCCCGACTCGTATTCGACCTCGACCTCGGCTGATTTTTGATCGAAGCCGCCGCCATTGCATGACTGCCTCTGGTGTGCTGGCTGCAATCTGCAAAAAAGTGTATCTTTGCAGCTCGCGTGGATCGTCTTTCAAGTGCACTGACCAGCGCAGCTCAGATCATGCCAGCTTTGCGCTCAAGCCAAGAAGTGTTTCAATCGACTTTCCGAGGCCTGCAGATCTCGCTGGACCAGCCAGTCTTCGGGCTATGCCGAGGCCCGGCTGGCCCATGATTAGTTCTTCGTTGGATGCATGGTTGACTGCACTTGTCATGCAATGCAGAGTGGGATGTGGCTGCGCATGTAACCGTAATTGCACATTGCACTATTGCACTGCACATGACATGCGGAGGCACAAACCGAGGAACTAGCATGATTCATGGTTCTGCGTGGCGTTGGACATGGAAATATGAGATGAGCACGGTCACTGGTCACTGCCGACTCCCCTCAAGTGTCTGTCTGTGTGTCTGTGTGTACAGTCTCTGTAGAGTCGTGAACATCTGCGCACGTGTGAAGCCATGGCCATGGCCAGATCCTGCTATTGCTTTCGCGCAAGCTGTCCAGACTGCAGCCAAGATACCCAAATCCAGCAGAAGCCGCCGAAAAAACAAAAACTAACGCTGGTCATTGAAGACAGCTTTCCTTGCGAAAGCAACGGCAGCACACGAGAGCATAGCGCCAAGTCCCAGTCAAAGGGGCACCAGCAGCAAGAAACATCGTCGAAGTCGTCCTCGGCCTCGGCCACGCCGGCCTGCTTCTGTTTTCGCAGCGATTGTTCTGTGTGCATGCGGGCCATGCACGTGGGCGGCAGCAGCATGCGCAGTTCAGTCAGTTCAGCCGCGGATGATGAGGCCAAGCAGACGGAGACAGGGCCAGTGGAGCAGAACAAGAAGCGCAAGAAGAGGGTTATTCCGAACGATGGCAAAGTCAAGCAGAAGCTGTCTGTGGATGTCGCCATAGTCAACACGAAGTGTCCTTTCGTTCGAGCAGCCTGGGCGGTTCCACCTTCAGTGGGTCAGACGTTGACTCAGAAGCTGAACCTGCAAGCCGGCCCATGGCAGTTCTGGGATGCTTGGCTCAGCAAATTACGGCTTGTGTTTGCGTGGTAGCTAACGGTAAGATGGGCTTGTCATTATGGCAGCCCATACATTCGACACTCGAATCACTCGAACCCTCAATCTAATAGACAGACAGCTGTTATGTGGATGCAGTACTACAGCATAACGAAGCTCAGGAGCTTTATGCAGGTTCTGGCCGCCTGACAGAAGCTGCGAGAGCTGCTGGCTTGGTCTGTGGCCCAGCAGTCGATTGGCTCTACGACCCCAGCTCGCACTCGACCTCGACCTCGGCTTCACCAACACAGCTGTGCCTTGATCTTGGTACTCAGAAAGACCGGGACATAGTGCGACAGTTGATCCAGGAGAACACCCCATCCTGGCTGCACTCGGGTGAGCCGTGCACTTTCTGGGTGACTTTGTCGAGAAGCACGGCGAGGAAGTTTCCGCAAGAGTGGGTTCGCGCAAGAGAGATTGCAGTGCAACACTGTCATTTCGGCATCGACCTCGCAGAATACCAGCGTGACAACGGCAGGATCGCTTCGAGGGAGAGCCCACTGTGTGCGGGATCCTGGCAGACAGATGTGTGGAAAAACATGTTCACGAACGGCTTTGAGAAGAACCGCTACGACTCCTGCCAGTTTGGCTTGGTCGATGAGCATGCCCGACCTCTGAAAAAGCCTGGCATTGTAGCGGCCAATCGTAAAATGTCTCACATTGCTAGGTTCTGCACATGCAAGGAGGCAGGCAAGAAGCATGGCAAATGCTCTGGAATGACCGACAGCGGCCCACACAAGGGCACGAGAAGGACATTGCTTGCCGGAGCATACACGCCAGCTTTCTGCGCAGCTTTTGTTTCAGACATCCAGACCTCATTGTCTTCTTTGCGCTGATTTGTCACCGGAGGGATCTTCAGGCAATCGTACCATCCCAGTCTGTCATGAAGCCGCACGAATAGTCTAGGCCGACACAGCAAGACCAAGTGATGAAAAATGAAGCTGAAGTCACCGGAGTCGGTGCAAAGCAGCAGCCGTAGCCGTAGCAATTTCAGCTTGGCATAGTCGGCATAGTAGCAGCCCGGGTCCGCCCATGCCCAGCTGGCAGCCCTACGAGAAATTTCAGAGTCAGGGTCATTACCAGGGTCAGGCGATTTCTGATAAGAAGTAAGAAGATGCTGCGGGAGGCTAAGGCTGAGGCTGCAGGCAGACGATCTACACGGGCACGCATGCGATTCCGCAGTTCCGCAGACATTGCCATTTGCCACTGCCAAGCAGCCAGACTGGGAGCCCCGCTGCTGAGTGCAGAGTGCACACTATGTAGAAGTGCTTAATTGGTTAAGTCGGAGCAGAAGTTCGTGAATGAGTGCGGCATGCTCTCCAGTCTAGCAGGCTGGGATTTCCAGCGAAGTAGTTTTCTTTCATTTTCATGAACTGGGTGCACACTCGGTGAGCACAGGGGGCCATGCGAGCGAGCAGAGCAGAAATGTTCGTCTTGCTACCATTTGCTGTACCTTCAGCTTCAAGCGTTGAGCAGACTCCTCCAGCCGAAGCCTGAACCCAATGCTGCTTTCTGCAAGGCAAGGTCACCGACCATGATATGGACAACCGATGCGCAGGCCCAGTTCAGTGAAGTTGAGTGCAAGCCTTCGTCCTTCGTGACCAGTTTCCTGCACCTTCCATCAATAAAATCTTGGGGTCTTGGGTGAAGTGAAGCAGACTGAAAGGCAAAACTATCAACTGAGTCAAGGGGTTTATGTATCTTCGGTTTCAGTTCTGTGTAGGCAACGGGCTCAGGGCTCAGGCGTTGATGTCATGTGGTGATTGACTGACTTGCTGTGGGCAGGCAAGGGCACTGGGCAGAGTGTATGAAGCACAACTTGATTTGCCTAAGTTCAGCTGTGCGAGTTGCAAACAGTTTGGAATGGGTCGGGGGCTCGGGGATCACAGTGGCGCGTCGCACAGAGTCGCACATGCATCTGCCGAGCTGTTGCCTTGTAGTTGTAATTATAGTTGCTTGAGCAGCAGTGGACCGCAACCCATCCAATCGTATAGATAACAACTCGCCACTATGGACGATACCTCAGCATGCAACATGGCCTTCAGAGCAGCAGTCGCAGTCGCAGCAGTGGACCACGACCCATCGAATCGTACAACCAACTCTGAATAATCTTAATGATGATTTAATGATTGACCGACAATGCCGCAATGCCCCGCCATGAAACATGCTATTGCTTTCAAGCAAGCTGTCCCATTTGTTTTCCAGTTCCACTACAAGCCTCTGCAAAGCCTGCAGCGCAGCCAAATCCAGCGACATCGTCCTCGCCGAGGACAACCACATGTTTTTGCTTTCAAAGAAATTGTAACATCTGCTTCCCGCGCTTTCCGGAAGCAGCCCATGCAGAGACGCAGACACTTCAGTCCACATCGACGTCCTTCTGGCAAAGAGAACTCCAGAAGGACTGGGCTGGCTTCTTTAATGAGTCGGATGCTTTATACTTTAGAGTTAGAGCGAGTCGCACTTGGGTTTTTCTTTTCTGGGCTGTCTGGGCTTTTTGCAGGTTTCAATTTGAGAGTCTGAACAAGTTGAACAAGAGCGAGGACAGAAATCACAAACACGGACAGTGACAGTGACAGAGGTACAGATATTGCAGATCCATTGAAACAAATCTGGTGCTGTTTAACCAGGACAAAGCCACACTTCTGTCAGCAGCCACATCTGGCAGCGGGTCGCCGTTATCAGCAGATTGCAAGAAACTGATCGCAAATGCTGACATGCTTCTTCGACAAATGCTTAGCAAGGATGGCCTACATGGTTTACGCGGCCCGACTGTGAATCTTTACTGTTGTCCATTGCAAGTTACTTGATGACTTGATGCTACTGCCTTGTATCCGACCGGAATCGGAAGTGAGCTGTGACTTTTTCTGAGCTTTGGATAGGGCAGTATGATCAAATCACATGTCGGCCTGCAGTCAGTGGCAGTGGCAGTGCAGTGCAGTCAGTTCAGGCCAGGGTCCGATTAGATTCCACGTTTTCCTCGTAATCTGTGGGTATGAGCTGACCGTCAGCTGACCTGAGGTTTGCTCGGCCCCCTACTGATGTTACTTTTGCATTTCTGACTGACTGAGGATTCCTGGAACAAGGACCGGACTGGACCCAGATTCCTTGTTCAAAGAACCAGACCGCGTACTCTGGAAGTAGGCTGGATCATTTGATTGCCCGGCTTTTTGGTACAAGCACAAAGACGCTGCGGGTCATCCGCTCCCAAGGTGTCCTGGGAGTTCAAGAGCCTCAGCCAAGTGGCCGTCGGCCACGCGACACAGACCTGGGTATCACGACTGATGAACCTCGTCCTCGTCCTCGTCCTGGTCCTTCGAAAAAAAGGAAACATATGCAGGCAGAGCCAAAGGCTGAAGTACCGCCAGAGCATGGTGAGCTCATCGCCAGCATTCCTGCAGCACTGCGGGCAACGCCCGGGCTTCTGCGCAATATGCAGATTGGACTTGTTTTGGGGCGGCTCATGGTGCAGACACTTGTTAGCTCGAGCGTTCACTCCCATTATCCAGCGCGTGTCCTGCAAGCCTTTCTCAGTGGAGCCCCGGTTGGGCAGCACTATCATGCCACTCTGCTCGTGTCGGTGTGTCTTTTGACTGAAGGTTTGGGTTGCAAAGGTTGCAAAAACATGCCAGGTTGTGATCACATACATTCCGTCGCTCTCTGAGGACCGACATGCTCTGAGAGGCTTTGGGCACGCCCTCGTCAATCTTATTCATGAGGCCGGCCATTGGGAGTCTATAGTCTGTGAAATCAAGGTGATCAAATTCCTGCCAGGATTTGCGAGCGCGGTTCTGGGAAGTGTCCCCGGCTTTGGAACATTATTCCCTGCCGCCTGCATGGGGGCTGGAGGCGGACGGTGTGACAATTTCCACCGGAGCGTCGCTGCTTCCTGTCTTCGTCCACTGGACTGATCTCCAGGGCGAACTTCAGTTTCTTGGTTGATGGCATGATGACATAGGGTTGATTGTGTGAGTATCAGGGCTTAGAAGAAGGTCAATGGAAAGTTTAAAGATTTCCAGAATGTGGGCTTAAAGGTTTCAAGGTGGTTCTCCTGATGTTCAGTTTGTTCCAGTGTTGAAGTGTAAAAGACCCCTGAATAATTAGGTGGGCGGCTGTACGTGTCCCGGATGCTGGCCTCAGTCACACCGGCGATGCTACAGCGAGTCTCCTGAAGCAGGTGCTGGTGTCTTGTCTGCCTTTCTGTTTAGAGCTCGCAGTAGGTTGCTGCAAACGCAGCAAGGCTCGCCAAGTGCTCCTCTTTCTTAAGGAAGATGCTCTACTTCCGCGACTTCCATCCACTTCGAAGAACTCTGGACCGCCCTCGACCTCAGCCTCCGAGGCTAGAGCATCCTCGTCCTCTGCTGCGGCAGGAAAGCGCGATGAACCAACACTTGAACCCTCTCCACTCACACTTTGGCGCAACCTGGTGACGATTGGTGCTGATGGGGCCATGGTGGGAGAAAGTGGTACATCTGTCGACCAGCATTTGGCTGGGAAGACTGGGTTGTCATCCAGGCTGGGGTTTCACGACTTCCTCCACTTGTTCGACGCCGTCGGCCGAGGTGTCATGAAGCATCGTCCTCATAATGACAAGAGCTCGGCGGCTGCTGACAAAGTGGAAGCAGAAGCGTCAGCGTCTGAGAGTGACTCAAATGTCGGGTCGGACGCATCAGATGATGATGGTGGACCGGCTGCAACTTCGTCGAACTCGAACCGCCCATTGAGATTGGACCTCTGGCTGCGCATGCTGAAGAAGATGCGCCAGATCTTCAAACGAGGCGCTTCTCGCAGCATTCTCGACAAGGCTCGCATTTGCACATGGATTGAGACTGAGATTCGATTTTGAAAGCTCTGTCGATTTTCGACGCAGGTGGCACTGGACTTCTCCTTCAAAACGCGTGGTGCTATCCAGGCCCCGTCTGCTATCAAATATGTGATTTATTCGTCCTCGTATTTGAAGCAAAGTCTCCGCCATTTTGGGGTTCGCCACGCAGCAGCAAAGCAATTACGTGATCACCTCATGGAGAGACGAGAGGGGGCGGCACCTTGGTTGAGGCCGCCTGCTTCCTGGCGGCATATAAATCAGGCATATTATTGATGCAAGCAAGTCTTTAAACTGCCGTTCGAAGTATCGTGAATATCAGATCCGAATCCTATCATTGTTTCCGAGTTTCCAAGCTAATCAGGACTCTGCTCCGTTGGCAGCACTTGCGGGACAGCCAGCTGCCAAGGCCCAGGCTGGTCCAAGGCGGAACCCGAAGTTGGCCAACAAACTTGAGAGGATAATGGAGCAGACTTGCTGCAGTGAGCTTGTATTCCAAGTCCAAGGTGTTTCTGACGTGTTCCATCAGTCTGGTGGCTTCATTCAAGTCGGAAGACTTGTCCAAGCGCCAGATGCTGTTTTCTTCTCCAAGCTTACAATGGTTTACAAACTGCACAGTTCGCTTGTGGCAGAACCGAAGAATTGGAAAGCGCTTGGAAACCTCCTTCCAGTCTTGGTCAATATACTGCTTTTCTTGTGGGATTTACCCGAAGATGTTCCGAAGCCGAAGCCGGCAGAGACAGAGCTTCGCCCTCGCCCTCGTGGCCATAGCCGTGGTGCTGGCCGTGGCCGTGGTGCTGAAGCCAAAACAGAGAAAGGACAGGTTGCTCCTAAGGTTGCTGCCTCGCCACCACCCAAAGCGTGGCACTGCATCTTTTGGTTTCTCACCACAGACTGGAAAGACAGATGCTTCAACTTCCTCTCATGCATGGAAATGTTCCTCATCTCTGGAACCTTCAAGAATGTTGTGTAGCTTGGCGCAGCATGCTGTTCTTTTCAAGAGCACAAGCGCATGAAAGCATGTCACAATGGTGAGAGTCAGAGTGAGAGTCAGAGTGAGAGTCAGAGTGAGAGTCAGAGTGTTTGCAGCTGAAGCCATCATGAGGCTGGATGGAGGAATTGATGCTCCGCACGGTTTTCAGAATGCCATGAAGAAGCGGACCCGTGCCAGTGTGCTTGCCTCTAGTGGGAAGCTACGGCAGGCAATGGATGGGCTTGGCGAATTCTTCTCCAAATTCTCTGAGCTTTTCCGTGAAAAAGTTCTGGAGGCCCCTGGTATTCATGTACCGAAAGCAGTGCTGGATGCGTGCAACGTTTGAAACATGGCTGCTGAGTAATGTTTTGACTTTTTCCTAACATCTCATTGCCTAACCCTGCTTCACCCGCTCTAACTTTGAAGCCTAAATCCTCAATCTTAACCCCAGTAACCCAGCCTGAGTCGGAACACCCAAAAGCCATTAGACTCCTCTAACCCATACCCGAATCTTAAATCCTAAACACCTAGACACCGTTGCAACACCACCCCCGTAGAAGTCGTCCGTTGTTCTGGAGAACTGCAACACTTGATGGCTGTGTGTCCTGGAGGCTTTGACATGAACACCATCCTTCAGACCGCACGAGAAACAAACTTTTCTGCGGATCTTCTGCCTGCGCTCACTTGCATACACGGCTGGATGCAGGACAGATACCCTTGGCATGACTTCCTTTGCAAGACCAACGTGGAGAAGATGCAACAACAATATATGCTGATGGTGAGGCCTGGTTTCTTTCAGGTCAGATTGTCATGCTTGCCTATTATTCAATAATGTCTCCTCACCTGTCACCGATTCACCGCCCCAATGTCACCGTAGTAGTCCCAGTCTTTACAGTCACAGTCCGCCGTTGCTGCGCCCTGTTGCAGGCACTGGTGGCGAATGGCCCAACACTCAACAGACAAGGACCAGGTGTGGTTGGAACCACGTCCTCGGCATCGTGGGACTCGTCGCACGTTGGACTGGAAAGTTTTCTGGCGTCTCATCCATACCAAGAAGCTGTGGTACGGCCCGAAAGACGTGGATGTGCGTGCTTTCTTCTATACTTTCCACTCCCTCGGCAGTATTGTTAGCTCTTCTTGCTTGTGCGAATCAGCAGGCAGCCTGCTGAAGCACTTTTCACGTGGTAATCCAGACACGAGAAGGATCGTGGAAAGAACAATCTTGAGGCTGGCTGCTGTCTCAGGAGACGGCACTGACGACGCCATCATTTTGAGGACGTGGCTGGAGACAGTTGCTTCCCCGGACAAGCTCAATTTCATTGGTTCGAGCATGAAAGCTTACAATAAGAACTTGGAGCGCTGGCCCTTGGGTCAAGGAAGCAAAACAATCCACGGCATGAGGAAGGCTGCACTGAATAAGAAGGGCAGCAAAACGCAGTGGACAGTGAAGCGTGTCAAGAAGATTCCACGGGTTGCCGCCAAAGTGTTGCAAGTTGCACGGTTAAAGGCATCGTTGCACCGATGGGCCCGAGCAGCTGCAGGTCGGAAGAATGCAAGAGCTGCTCGCCGCTGAGATGACTGAGATGAGTGCGATGTCGTCACGTCGACCTCGACCTCGACCTCGATCTCGTTTCTTGGACGTCTCGCGAAGCTGCGAACGAGCAAAAAGACATTCAGTCACGATTCAAGAATTCAGGAATTGGGGTCAGCATTGGGCGGCTGGGGGCTGGGATTACTTACTTTGGACGACCCGACCCTCACATCAGACCCTCAAACCCGAATTGACCCGAATACCAGTGCGCCAATGTTGACTCCGGCCAGGTGACAAGCGGCAGCAGCAGCCGCTGGCCGCCAGCAGTGCTCTCCGGCCACTGCCGGCGGCGGTGGTGGTCGGTGGTCGGTGGTGTTGGTGGTCCGGTGTTCGCCGAGGTGGTGTGTTTCTAGTTTCTCGTAGTGTGTAGAGGAGGGTTGGCTCTTGGCGGTGGTTGCGACCAGTGGTGGCTGGTGGCAGTGGTGGTGGGTGGAAGTGGCGTCCAGTGGCGTCGTGGGGTCAACGTGGTCGTTGTCTAGTAACTAGTAAGTAGTACTCCGGGAGTACTCCGTAGTGGCAGCCGCCGGGTAGTAGGTTTAGGGGCCTAGGGGGGGGCCCTTTAAACAAGGGGAAAAAGCCAGCCCCGGTGGGTGATGTGGGTGATGCTAAGGAGTTCGAGACGGAGGACCTTGTGGCCAAGGCGGTGAGCGAGTTGAACGGAAAGGACCGAGCATGAATCGGCGCGATGAGATTTCTTCGCTGTTGATTTGGTTAGACGGAGTTGGGCTGCACTTCGTTTCCCGAGTTGCATCGACTTCGGTGTCGTCGGCTTCTAAACAGAAGCCCAGAGAAAAAACCACAAAGCGCAAGCAGTGCAGGCTCTCGTACAGGGTTCCTATAGGAGTGCCCTGACATGTGCGGAGCAATCTGCAGGAGGTTCAGGGTCGCTGCATCACCATCGAGCCGTTCAGTCAGGCTCAGCACATCTTGCGCGCTATCAAGAAGAACCGATGCTCCAGGTTGTGCAGAGTGGGAGCACGCAGGAACCTTCAGAAACTGTCGCGTCGTCGGTCGCGTTGTAAGACTTTATCGGAACTGAGCGCTGAGCTGAGCTGAACTAAATCGGATCCGAGTCAGAGGGGTCGCGTTCTCGAGTCAGGCGCACGAAGGGCGGCCTCTGCGAGATGCAGCGCCACCTGTTGTGGATGGGCGCCAGGCAGCTTAACGTGAAGACGGGTTGAAGATGCACTAGTTTAGCAGCACACGTGTATGGTTAAAATAAACTAAAACGTCACTAAAACCTGCTTAAAGGGGAGAACGGGTGTGTATGTCCATGTTTATGTATATAGATGTATAGATATATAGGCATGTCAAGCTTATGAATCAAAAAAGAATGCCTGCATGGATTGGGCATATAGGGGGTAAAGGTGCGAAAATTGCGAAGCTGCATTGCCGGTAGGACATGACACCTGCACCAGGCCTGACACGGAGTTTTTTGAAAGGTTAAGAAGGAGCGCAATCGGGCCTGAGCCACGTGACTCATGACACTCGTGTCAGTCCGTGACACCGGCAGCTCCGAGATTAAATCACAAGCAGGTATAGACATAGATATAGATATAGATATTTCTGCATAAACACGCATATCCACACGTAGACATCGCGACATATATTCATATGGTTATACATGTATACATACAGACACTTACATACGTTTATCTACATTTTCATACGTAAACATATAGACACATATCTGTATATATATATACACACAATATTACACAGATATACAGATTTACAGATATACAGATATGCATATCTACATGTATACACATATACACTCGTATCTATACACCTGTATGTATCTCTCTCTCTCTATGTGTATACCAACCGTACATGCATACATGGATATATATATATATATACACACGCGCGGAACCTAAGGGAGGTGTATATACTATACATACATACATGCATACATACATACATACATGCACACACACACACACATACACATGCATATGTATACAGTTCGAACCCCGAAGCGCATGTTCCACCAGCGCGACGCCACACACAGATGTGTACGGTGGTGATGTGCATGCACTGACGTCCTGGATCCGTCCCTCCTTCCGTTCCGGAAAGGATTCGAGGCGGAAGCAACACAAATATCGCACCAGCAAGCAAAAGACAGCTACACACAAGACATGAACATACCAGCAGGCAGGCATGTACTGTAGACTGAAAAGACAGATGAAAGCACATAGGCGGGTCGACGGAAGCCGTTTGACTCGAGGTGTTTCTGTCTGGCCTTTCTGCTAGCCACGCACCCAGTCACAGCCAGTTGTCGGCGATGGAATCTGCTCAAAATTCTGAGATGTGCCAGTTCAATTTCGATCAATGTGCAGATTGAACTTGTTCCAGGGGGCGGCAAGAGCCTAGTAGATGTATGGTCACTTCGAGGCACCGACTCGGAGACATTGCGAAAGTTCTGCGAACTCAGCGCTGGACCCGTGGCCAACGCCCGTGTGCCGCCAGATCCAACTTATTTCGCAACCCTGGCAAATAAGCACCAAGCAAGAATGCACCAAACATGCACCAGCTGCCAGCAACAATGTGCAGGCAAGAAAGCAATCTCCATGGACACGACAGGTACAACGAGTTCGCTTTTCAGCAGATGTTGTGTGGATTAATGGATTTACTCCAAACTAGAAGTTCGAAGGCAGACGAGTACAGATCGTCAGGCTCAGTCATGTTTCTTTGAGGACTCTGTTTCCCATCACTCTACCTGCAGACCGGCTGTATCCTGCAGTGTTGTCATTTTGGGAAGCGGAGGTTCACTCACCGTGACACTGGCGAATCCAGGGGTACCGCGAAAGTCGAGTTCGACACTGCGGAGCTTGCGCAGTCTGCCATCCAGGCCCACTCCCACTCAACATCCACGGCATGTGAAGTGATGCCAAAGCAACTGCAAAGGCCACCCATGTCCCATGTGTACTTCTGCAGGGTAAACCACGCTAAAACCCTGACGGCACCGTTGCTGAGGCTTTAAATGGCCGCTTGCTAGATGGGAGCCACCTCTCAGCACGCTTGATGGAGCTTCTTCGCTTGGAATAAAGCCTGGGGCTGGTGTCGGGGATTTCGTTCTATACCGTGGGTTGAACCATCCTGTCCACAGCGTGCTCACCTAGCTCCGAGACCCGAGTCGAAGTATTGTGGTTGTCGAACTTCGTCCATACCGCAATGCACTCTCAGCATCGCTTTTCAGCGTCTCAAGCATCTCTGTCGCATTCGAGGCGGGATCGGCCCCCACGACAGCCTGCAGAGGGAAGCCACTGGGCAAAGGGTGCTAAACCATGTGCAGTGTTTGAGTTGGCGGAGTGTTCGAGCTAACGGAGATTACCTTTGAGCTCTGGCAGGTACATAATTTCCCGTCATGAGTTTGGTTCATGAGTCTTGTTTGTGCGTGTGTCCACACTTCGGTCCCGGGTGCGAGAGGCAGCCGAATCTTCATCACGAACCTCCCTGACGAGGTTCGGAAGAGGATTTCGTCGATGATCAGTAGCGGTGGGGGCAGCAGCGGGGGCTTGGATTCGTTTTCAAGTTTGCTGAAGCACGTCGTGGTGAATGAGAGTTTGCGAAGACAGGCCTGCCCAAGCCTACTTGCACGGAAGTTCCTACATGTTGTCCGAGCAGGTCAGCGAGGAGCAGGTGCAGGACCTGCTTGTCCAGGCTGGCGAGGTCATCTCCGTGCAGGCGTGAAGGTTCTTGCTGTTAGGTTGCAACCTGTGCTCCACATGGCATTGCTCCGGTCCAGATGCAGCAAGCCCTGCCTGCGAAGCTTCCGCAAGCAAGGGCTCAATGCTGCAACTGATCGCTAGCTAGATTCGACCGTGAGGTGTTCAAGACGGGTGCCGGCAACACCGCCAGCCGCGCGACGATGGTGCCTTCATGCATCTGCTCATGTCTATCACTTTAGTTGCCTCGGGTTGCCAGCAGCGAAGTCTTGCTTGGATTTCCCCGCTCGACAGTCCAGTCATCGCGAAGTCTTAATGCAGAACGGAGAAACGATGCTTGAAGGCATCTTCTGAACAAGCTCAACGAGCTGTGAGCATTCTGCCGCTTGGAGGCAGAACCGGCTGTGAAACTACAGGCAGGTTGTTGCGTGGAGTTATTGGCCATTCTTCTCGGGACAAGCCATGCCCTGCCAAGCAAGGCTGCAGAACAGGAGAAGAGTTTACATTGCATTGCTGAATCATCCGCTTGCTACAGGACCATGCAGAGACAACCAGTCCCCCGAAGCCTGCCCACGTCCAGCACTCAGGAACGAGACCTTTTACATCTCCAATCGCATTAGTGTGCGAATGGATGCAGAGCGTCCAAAACCGCAGACCGACGCTTTACTGCAAATAGCTCTGTCGCTACAGCCTTTACACAGCTTTACGCCGCGTTCACAGATTCAAAGGTTTCTGCCAAGTCAAGATAAACAGTGTCGGTGCTGCGAAAAAGTTCAGCGCCAACCGGTAGTCAGCGCGCCTTGCCGCATGACACGGTCATTCTGTGGGCATACATGCCGCATAGACAAATACTTCTGCTCCTCGATTTGTGTTGCGATGCTGATGACGGCAAGCCTAGGGGCACCTGGTGAACCTCGGTTCAGGACCACCAGCCAAGAAACCTTAACTTGTGCAGGATGCGACGATTTTCGTGGGTGGCTTGAGCTTCAGCACCACTACTCAAGGCAGGCTTGATTGGCAGTAAAAGGTTGTGTTTCGAAGTAGCAGTAGTAGTAGTAGTAGTAGTAGTAGTAGTAGTAGCAGTAGTAGTAGTAGCAGTAGTAGTAGTGGTAGTAGTCGTGGTGGTGGCGGTGGTGGTAGTAGTAGTAGCAGTAGTAGTAGTAGTAGTAGTAGGCAGAAGCGCCGCTTTGCACTTCGATAGGTTCAGACCTGTCAGTTTGGGTATGCAGGACGGGTTCGCTCTGTTGTGGAAGCCGATCTCAGTCACTGGTTCCAGGCCTAAGGCTTGAAGGACTCGTAGCTGGCGAGGCCTGGAGCAGCATTTCAGCCGGGTGGCGAGAGTCGTCCAGGCCAGTCGACTTATGTTGAAGTTGGCAACGGCTTTGCGAGAGAGAGAGGATGTAACATTTTGGGGGACGCGGAGCGCCGGGGAAGTGGGTCGCTCCCTCTTCCTTCACCCCGCGAAAGAAAGGATGAGAGACTCGGGACACGAGGACGCTTGCTTGCTTGACGAGAAAGTAATGCGAGAAATGTGTTGCTCTGATTCATGGGTTTCGTGTTTGTTGCGAGAGAAGCGCCCCTGCATGTCTCTTCTTCTACGCCACCTGTACGCTGTTGTGAGGCTACTGCTCTCGGACGCATGAGTTGCAATCTGCTTTTTCGATCAGCCGGTTTTGCAGTCCATACCACTCCTTTTCTGCGATTTGGAAGGGATGCCATGGAAGCGAGCAGAGTACGCTTGAGAAAGAGAGGATAAGGCTGATGCCAAGGACAGAGGCACGTGGTCACCCTTGCTTTAGGCACACCCACCGTTATGTGGCACGCATGCGGCACTCGGAGCTGTACTTCAAAGATCACAGGGCTCTGTTCAGTGACGTTACTGCAGGTGTGCCGTTGGCTTTCATCTCTGACCTACGTATATAAGCCTGATAGCACTTGTTACGATTCTTAATCACTCGTGAGTTTGGTTCTCTGTCACTGTCTCTCTCTCTCTCTCTCTCTCTCCTTCTCTTTCTTTCCGCAGGCTTAAGAAGAGGGGAGTTGCACTAGTCCCCCGTACTCGGTACTTATCTGGAAAGGCTTAGCCAAGAGCAAAGCGAATCAATTCCGGAGCCCGCTGCAGGCATCCATTTTCACCGCCAAAGACACCGGGAAGCCCCGAGGCCGTCCCTGAAGATGGGAGATAAGGCCGTGTCATGCAGGGCAGGGTGAGAAGGCAATGCTGATGCTTGCTTTTTCCACACTGGTCAACTCGGTACTAGTCAAAGAGTCGTGAAGGTCATGCTTTTGTGGCTAGCTGGCAGCCGCCAGGTTCCGGGAAGGTGGAATTCCAGTCCGCGCGCGATGCAGAACGTGCAGTGCAGGCTGGGCCTTGCTATGCCGTGCTCGTGGAGCAAAGACTGTTCTTCGCTTCCTTAGCTGGCGCACACCTGTCATGTTGGTTCCTGAAGGAGCTGAATGGTTCGGAGCTCGATGGTCGGCAGGTCCACGCCCCTCGGCCCCAGCTCCGCCCACGTCAGCCATAGCCCATATGTGCAGCCTTGGCATCAACCAAGGTGAAGATCATGGAGGCCCGGCCGCCAGAGAGGCATCGACCTGAGCAATGACACTCGAGACTTGCCACTGCGTCTGCACCGCGAGTTTTGCAAGTGAGGTCCAGTCCCATGCGCCCGCCTCCAGGGCTGAGCCTCCCGGACAGCGCCGGACTCGGTTCAGATTCCCAGAATCAATCTGAATTGTTTGGGTCTTCGAGGTGGCCGTCAGCTCTTTGTGTCGGGCCTCGCGCCGACCACGCAGACCGAGGTCCTGACACGGGGGCGAAGTGGTTGAGTGAAGAAGTTGGGCGGTTCGGGCTTCTACTTGCTTTCTTTTTATCTTCATTGTCTCCTTTTGGTTCTTTCTGTCTCTGTCTCGTTTTCGGGCTTCTCCTCTTTCATCCAGAAGCGGAAGAAGCCAAGGGCGGCTGTAAGCTTGCGATAGTCTTGCGATGTTGGACTTGTCGTACAGATTGGGGGCGCGCCGGGACTCGACAGTCAGTCGTATGGCCTGCTGCTGCATGGGATCCCCGGTTTGTACTAGGCTCACCCGTACCACTTGTCCAGAGTGTCCTTTTTGCCGCAGTTGCTGCGCGAGTTCTGCGAAGCCTGCCTTGGTGACGGATCAGCCTCAGCCCAAGCTGAGCAGCTGTCGGCATGTTGGGATCCCAAATATGGGGTTTTCTTGAGCGACCCTTCTTCTCCTTGGTCTTGCTGTACCAGCAAATCCATGCCCGAAGCAGAAGCCATTGGCCACCTTCTCGGTAATGCACAGGGAGGACGGTAGGCGGAAGTAGATTTTTGGCCCAGCGCGAAGATACCTTGTTGCGGACCAAGCGTTTTAAATCTTCAGAATACTTAGGGCTGCATAGCCATGCGCAGGCTGGGGCAAGACACGGTAGCCCAATATGGAGGGTGATGCCAGATGCCCTTTGCATAAAGGCACGGCCTGCGTAAGGCTGAAGGTACCTGACCGAAGACAAGTCCGGATGCATGGTTCCTCCTTTTTCTGAAGCACATGTCCCCAAAGGAGCCTGCTAGCACTTGTGTGTCCTGGTACTGTAATGCTTGCTGAAATCCAGGTCGTGTACTGCAACGTCTTCCAGGACCATGACACCGGCGAGTCAAAATGCACTGCGAAAGTCGAGCTGCTCACTCGGTTTCCCTCGCGATACCAGGGTTCCGAAAGAAGTAAAGATAAGTTTTGGCCCACATGCCGCGGTGCGAGGCCTTCCGCCCTTGCATCTGCAAGTTCTTCAGGTTGGCATCTTCGGATCTTCTGGACCGAGCTTTTCAGGACGACCGAGCTCTCGCAGTGCCAAGTCTAAGTGCGCTTACAGCTCGCCGCAGAAAGCTCTGTAGTGAAGAGGACCCCAACGCATGCTGAAAGCGGTAGCAGCCCAGGAAGAGACTTTACATATTACCTGTCGCTACAGTCGGTTTTTCAGGACCTGGAGGGTGCGCAGCTGGAGGGTGGCCGTTTGTCCCTCCGCCGGCCAGGCGCGGCTAATCGCCCGAAGTACAAAATCCCATCAGAGCCCATCACGCAAGTCTTTCTTGCATCTCATACCTGCGAGACATCCGAACGACGAGCGAGGGCGAGAGAGAGGACAGATGATGGGCCGGCTACACAGCCTATAAAGATCATAACAGAGACTGCATCGGCCGTGGAACGTCTGCTGCTGCGGGACGAGCAGCTTGCAGAAGCGAGTCGAGAGATGTCGAGCGTTTCACTAACCGCTAAGCTGTGAACAGATGCGCACTTGCACACTTGTACAGGCGAACCCCGACAACCTCCGGCCCCAGACGGGCGTACAATTTTCCTGGGAGGCACGAGTTCGCAGATGAAGGGACGTAGCACTTTGGGGGATAAACAAGTAGCACGTGGTCGAATGATGCAAGATGCGGACACCACGTGTATGCCGGCCACTAAGATTCTTGAAAGGAGTTGGTGTTGGGACGTTTGGGCATACAGGGCACTAACAGGGCTTTTCAAGATGATGTGCCTACATAACGGGTGATAACTTGTGCCCTGAAGCTTTGCAGTTGAAGACCTTCTCTGAACAGATAGTGACGTGTCATGTTGTGTGCCGCCTATGTACCGAATTCTTAAGATCCTATCCGTCCTTTCATATATTTTGATATGAGGCACGATCCGTGGCACTAGGAATCAGCAAGTGTAGGCAGGTTGACGACCGTGATTATCATGATGATGACGAATGCTGTGACGGTGATGGCGGTGAGGATGATGTGGGTAATGCTTATGAGGATGTGCATGATGATGACAAGGATCCACCAGCAGTTAGCTGATGGTGGCGGTGAGTCCGTCTTTTAACTTTCTGTCGCCTATGGCTTACTTAGGTCTTTCTGTTGTTATGGCTGCTTTTCCTTTTGTTGCAAGTTTCGCCAGCCCAGTGCCGCTTATTCCAGGGCTGAGCTGGGACGTCGACTCCGAAGCCCTCAAAGGCTTCGCCAGCCAGGTGGGTGAGGCCGGATCATCGACATGTCGTGAGAATGACCAAGACCGGAGACAGACCTGACAAGCATAGTGATGGCAGCTTGAGGGACACGGGCAAGTCAGTACTACAACAGCAGGGGTTGCTACCGCCCTCGCAAGGAATCATACTATGAATATCAGTAATAAAGCAGCAGTCACCACGGCAGTGCTACCGACGAATGGCAGCAAGAGCAGTAGCAACATCGATGATAGGTGCAAGCGTCGCCCGCAGCATCGCCATCGTCGTCGAGATGTAGGAATAAGACAGACAAGAATTCGAACATCACTAGTGGCAATCCCATTAACAAAACAAGCAGGAGCTTTGGGTGACACTTCTGACTTCAACGAAAGTCAGCGTGGTAATCACTAGGAGAGCTGCTGATGGTGATGAAACTGATGGGTAATGACGAGCTGATCACTCCTGACCCTTGACACTTCTACTTAATTGTTCAGTTGCTCTTCGACACTAGTCGAAGCTGTCGGGGGTTCGCAGATTCGGAGAAGGGTTTCTGGGCTTTTAAGAACCTGGTCTGCTACTGAGACGCAAGTAGAAGGTTGGAAGCACACAGAATGTGCGGGGTCGGGTGGCAGTTCTTGTCACTTCGCTAAAGCGGGGTTTCCTGTGAGGTCACCTACGCCGCCGTGTTCACCAACAAAGAAACGGGGAAATCCAAAGGTTCAGGCGCGAACGTGCTTCTGTTCATGCCAGCCGCTCTCGGCGATGTCAGTGATTGACTTGAGTGGCTTTTCCTGATTTTGCTGGCCTTGCAAGGCAAAGTCCAGTATGCCACCGCCGAGCTTGCCAGCAAGGCAGTCGAGGTCGGCCAAGCCAAAACCGTGGGACCTACTCAGCTGCTCTGCGAAGATGTAAGTTCATTGAGAGAGAGCCGTTTGTACTCAAACGAAGCCAGAAACCGTGGGACCTACCCAGCTGCACCGCGAAGATGTGAGTTCATTGAGGGCGTTGTTTGTACTCAAACGAAGCCAAAACACTCACTCACTCCCGCACTCACTCACGGGCCACCAGCAGGGCAGCATGATACGACCTGAGTGTTCAAGCTCGCAGGAGCTGACAGGGCAGGATCTGATGGGCCGCGAGGCCTTGAGGGACTAGACAGGTGCTGTTGAGATGCGCTCGTCACGGGATCTTCTCTTCCATGTCCTGAACGTCGGCTGAATCACCCTGAATCCCAACGTGGCACTTGCTAAAGCCATGGGCCGGAGTACTTCAACACCTTGCGCCCGGTCATAGTAGGTGGACCTTAAAGCCTTTCTTTGGCGACCTGATGCTTGTCGCTACCCGGCTCAAGCGGTAGAGTCAGACGTCGCGCCAGCTTGGGGCATCCCCGGGCGCGGGCCACTCGGATTCGGCATGAAGCCGGAACTGCCTTGGGGTTCGCCCATGTATGGCGGGAGGAGTGTAGGATCGTTGTTGGAGGAATGCGCCCTCTCTCGGGGCCTACGGCCTGAGCATACCTGTGATGTCATGGAATCAAGCACTGACAGTCTGTGGTGATTTTCCAGCGAAGGTTGTATCGACAAATTTCCGACTGCCTGTCTGCAATCCCGAGGTTTGGGCATGCAAAACGGATTTGAGGTGCCTGGTGCCCATCTATGTCTTCAGAGGCATTGCAGGCCCCGCCAAGTCGGACAGAGCCTTGAGATTAGACAGGCCAGCCACTGCATGTGCTGGAGGTGACGGGGAAGAGCACTTCAGCTGGAGATGGTGCCGAGAAAGTGTACTTTTATGGAATCTCGCTTTGAATCTGAAGTCTGTACTGCTAGACGACAATCACTGGTTGAACCACGGTTTGGCCTGTAGTGGCCTGGTATAGGAGTGGTGTTGTGAATTGTGACCTGCTGACGGCGATCTCGGCGGTAAGCTAGACCGTTACATGAGGCTTTAAGTTGATCATTTCATCCATGTTCTTCCGCAAAAGCCAATCAAGGAGTGATAAAGTCGTACGACGAGCAGAAGGGCTTTGGCTACATCACCTCGAGTGACTTCGCGGCTCTCTCTGGTCGAGACGTGTACTTGACAAAAGAGGCCAGCAACCGGTGGAGCGTATGGCCCTATGTTTTGTTCTGAAGGGGGAGATGCGTGCCTTGCCTTGTGCTGCCTGTGCCCTCGCAGGAAGCTGCAGCAGCCTCGAAGGATCCTGCTCCTTGGCCAAAGCCGCCGCCAACTTTGGCTCCGTTGTGTACAGAGGGCCTTGCATGGTTGACTTGTGCTAACCACTTCCACTGCAAACTGAAGGTAGCTGGCTCGGATGCCGGTGTGCCCAAGGATTCTGCCAAGCTTTGATTGGATAAGTACCAGTTGTCTTGGCAGATCGAGCAGCCGATAGCAAAAGCACGCAAAGCTTGAGCGGTTTCATCGACAGTTTCCCTGCTGGGAGAAACCTTGTACTTGTGGCGAAACAAAGCTGTGCCCCGCAGGAGGGGCAGCCTGTGAAGTTCCAGGTGACGCAGAACGGCAACTTGGAAGAACGAGATCGCAGCAGCGGCAGCCAGAACGAGCTCACCATTGTCGTCATATGCGTCATGCTGCTCAGTAGCAGGCTCTAAGCCTTGAAGCTCAAGTGCTCAGGCGATGGAGACCCACAGGCCGTCAACGTGGCGGGTGTCCGGCCCCTGACCCTCAGCAGCAGACAAGCCGAGAGGGAAGGAGACATGGGGTGGAATTTGGGGGAGGCCTGTACGCCGGCGCCGCCCGGGAAGCCCAGCCCGCCATTTCCGCTATCAAGAACTCGAGCTTGACCGGTCTGCTTTCTTTTGTTTGGTCGGCCCTACCCTGCCTCACCTAAGCCCGATGTCAGCTCCAAGATGCCCAAGGATCGGAGACGTTGCTCAGCTCCCCCGAGAGGGAGATCAAAGTGGCGTTCTGGCCACCTGACTCGACTAGATAGAGTTCTCCCATGCCTCATTTCGGGTCATTAGTTTGGCTGTGTTGGGGGCCTGCATCGAACGAGCAGAACAAACTCGCATGCTTGAGCACCTTCCACAGACTGTAGATGGGCATTTATCGAATCGGACTGCAGTAACTAAATCTGCCTCACGCTTATCACAGTGATGCTCCAAGGTCATCAAGGGAGATCCAGACGGATCAGAGAAAGTGCAGTCTCTTGTGGGCCGCTTTGATGCAGCTCTATGCCGCTTCCATTAGCCCCTGATATGACGCATGCGTGAAGCTACGTGCATCTACCATGGTTAAGCGAGTGGCAGTGGTTTGGTAGCACCGGACCCTGCAACAACTCCGCTAAAGCAAGTTGTTCTTGACTCCACAGGTAAGGAGGTTCGCTTCGGCCAAGCAGACTGTGGACAGCTGATGTTGGCAGTCGGTGATGAGGTCCTGTTCTCCTGCAGCTCGCCAATGGCTTAAGCTGAGGATTCTGAAAGAACGGATTCCTGTGCAGGCTTTGTTAGTAATGTGGGGTGTCGCCAGTTCCGAGTGTTTTTGGAATCCAAGATGTAGGCCTATCAGCAAAGTCCCGCGAACATAGAAGTAAAAACTGATGGGTCTCAGCAAGCCACCCGAGATTCCCAAGAGCCCGTTTTCGGACGTTGTGCCTGCATAGATGTTGAGGCACTTCATAGTACATGCACTGTATCTGCCGAGTGCTGTTTGCTTGCATGCAAAGTGGCGCTCCTCAATCTCGGCACCGTAGTAGCGCTTTTCCTTACCACTGTTTCTGCTGCGCTAATCACCTGCCTCAAACTATCGAAATCCTGCATTGAGGTAGTGTGGTGAGCGAGTCGCCACATGTCTTGGACGCGAGAATCTCGGAGCTCAGGCACGAACACGTCAGTTCTGATGTTGCAGCCTCGTTGCATTCTGCCCCGGCTTTTGCAACATATGGAATTTTTTTGGGCATCCCATAACGCATAACTCTTGTCATGCTTACCTTATAGAATTCTCAGATGCTGGACTTTTGTTGAAGGTCGACAACGCGGGCGGGTCCGATACTCTTCGGCAACTTTCACGTGGAATTCCCCAGGTGCCTGGCAGGGAATGCGCCACCCGCCGTAGGCCTGTCCCCTATGCAAGAATCCTCACAGCAGAGGAAGCGTTCAGCGACTCTAGTGGCTCACCTGCTGTACTGGTCAGGGAAGTGCTTTCTGGCATGCATGGAATGTACGGTCATAATTTCCCAAGCTTCAACTTGCTGCAGTAATGCACTGAAGACCCTGGAAAGGAGCGGCGACTCTGTCTGCAACCTCGGGGGCCACGCTATGCAAGATCGAATTGTGGCTCCGATTCGATTTGAGACCACGTGTCATCTTTTTCGCACCAATTTCGGTTCTGGGCTCTATGATGGGCAGTCTCTTATTCGGAATAAATCGCAAGCATCTCCGAGAGCACAATGCAAGGTCCTGGCAGGGCTGCCGCCTGACCTGAAGGGTCCCGAGCTGATGCGGCTCTTTGAGAATTTCAAGGCCCAGGCCGTCAGATGGAATCTTGAAGAGCGGAGGATTCGGAGGTTGAGGCTTTTCAAGATGGCGACTACAATGTCTGTCGATGATGGCTTCTTAGGCTGCTTGTTTCATCTTGTCTGTTGTGCTTGGCCCTTGCACTGTTAGCATGGCAGCTGTTTAGTGCTGCTGCGCTGTTGTGGCGGTGGGCGTTTTAGTAGTTGTTGTGTTTTGTTTTTTGCTGCAACCAGCAGTCGCAAAGGTCCTCTAAGAGCTTCACTAGTTCCATCACGTGGCAGGCCTGCATGGCTTTACTTGCACGAAGGGAGTGCGTTTGGTCATGGGTCCGGTGCAGGATGCGCATTTCTCTCCAACCATCAGTATAAACAAATAGTTAGATCGATCGATGCACATCCGCACATGCATGAATGCAAACAAATGCATGCTGCATGCATGCCTTTCTATACATCGACAGGCAAACAACCGACTCGATAGATGGATGGCTGTGTAGATAGATAGGTAGGTCGATAAGTAGGTAGATAGATAGATCGATAGACCGATAAGAAAGAAAGATACAAGTAGAAGAAGATAGACCAACAGGTAGATAGGTGCCCCCCCCCCCCCCCCCGGAGACTTCTGCAGGAGCCACTCCTGGCCCGGGAGGATGCTGGGCCTCGTGGTGGCTTCGCGTCCGTGATTTTCCAAGGAGGTTCTTCGCATGTTTTGAAGCTTTTGGGGGTTTAGGGCAGCAGGGTCTTCTTTTAGGATTTGGGAGGGCTCTGATGCACGACTTGGCGGTAGGCGTGTTCTCAATCTGTCGGCCGACGCAGCCTACAGGACTTGCACTGGGCTCACGTACCGCTGCGATCTTTGTGGCCTCGTCTTTTCCCTTATGTTGTGTGTGTGTGTGCGTGTGTGTCATGTCTTTAGTTGTCCTTGGGGCGGATAGCCTCTTTGGCTAAAGACAAGTGTCCTGGTTCGATTGTGTTTTTTCGAGAAGACTTACTGTAGGCTTCCTTCAGGTTGTGAGCAACGCCTGCAGGTCCGACTGATGTGGCGCAGTTCCTGCTTCGCACAGCCATCGCAATGACAGTTGATGGCAAGGCAGTCCGGCCGGGCCGTGTGCAGCCCACAGCTCTCGCCTGGGCACAACGCCTAATTCGGTCAAGTTATGCAAGGAAAGATTTGACGGGCCAGAGAGCAGCGTTGGGTGTGATGTAGCTGCAGTAGCTCGAGCAGGCCAGGTAATGCGTAAGGCGCATGGGCAACAGAGTTATCAGCTATGAGCTGGAGAAGAGGAGCCCTTGTGTTTTTGCCAGGCCCGCGCCGCTCGACTCGGATTTAACGCTCGCGCTCCACAGGACTGTTTTTGGGACCTGACTTACTTGTGGGAACTCCGAACACTGTCAGACGTCCAGCCTGTACTTGTGCTTCCCTGCAACGTCAACGGTTCCGTGCACGATTGGAGCCGCATGATGCTGCAGGACCTGGCACAGCTCCCGCTACTGCCTGCACAGCCTCAGCCCACGCTTGAAGCTGAAGAGCCTTCGAGAGCATATTTAGATCACTATGCTTTCTTTCGTTAGGATGTCAGCAGACATGTCAGGCCCCCTTGTAGTTTGAAGCTCGCTGAACAAATCATTTGAGGAGGGTGGTGCGCTTATGGTTCGATGGCAGCAAGTCGGTATGGCTGTTGGCCGCCTTGCAGCACGTACGGGCAGTACGTACAGTATCTTTGGTATTTGGAGGGTGGGTGGGCCACAGATGCATGGTTGCCGGCATTTGCAAATATGCAAACATGCATGTAGGCTCTGTGCAAACACAACGGTTGGCACAGGTTTGGCCCATCTACATAGATAGAGAGTTTACATATACATATTCAGTCGCTAGCACAGACCAACCTGCATGCTTATTATGCTTTAGCAAGCAGTGCCGTCACGCATGAATCTTGGGTATATGTTTAGTCTGGGCATTGGACCAGACGAATCTCACTGGCGCTTGTCCTAAGTTTCCTGGCATGTAGTTTTTGCACACGTTTCTTTAGTCGCATCCACAGCCACCATGGGCCCTGCTTTTGAGGTTACCTGGTGGAACTGCGACCTTTCGGGGACGAAGCAGGCCAGCGTCCACGAAGCCAGCTCAGCTGCAGTGCAATGTGCAAACATGGTATAGCTTGCAGATGTTCGATCACAAGAATGGAGCAGCCAAGCATGCAGGAGCTCAGCTGCGTGTCTCCGTGGATGTGACAGGATGGTCACCGGTGGACGTCTCGCCCGGCCACCACGTGGATCCGCATCCCTCCCTCCCACAGGGACTGCCACCCGGCTAAAATGCATATGCCTTTGCAGTGCGATGCTTTACAGCTGCGAGATGCTGCGAGCAGAGGAACGAATGCTTCAACAGAACCTTCAGTGCAGTAGCAGAGAGAGGAGATACGATGGACCAAATGTGCCGTGCTCTTGCGACGATGGTGGCGCCCTCATCCGAATATGATCGAATCCGCACATATGCCAAGGCTCGGCCCACAGTGCAGTGCTTGCCGGGTCAACAGCCTGCGAGAGGCCGGTCGGCAGCACATCCCTGCACGGGACGCCCTGGTCATGGAAGACTGTCAGAGCATGAATGCCTCAATGTCTGCTTGACAGTTCTGCACAGGTGCCGTACGAAGCCAGTGTCTTGGCACCACTGGCAAGACTTGCAGACCGAGCTTTTATCCCCTCTCCATGCTCCCCTTCCTTCGATTGTTCTGGTGCGCTGTCTTCTTGGTGCCTACCCGCGGCCATCTCTCTATCTGCCTCCGGTTGGCCGAGGAGTTATGTACTATGCAGCCTCTGGCTGCCGGTCGTACCATTCGAAGGTGTCGACGCCATGCGCCATGGCATTAAACGCGCGAAGCACGAGGGGAGATGCACAAGGAACTCATGTTGAAAGACGACCCGGCTAGTGGCAGAGAAGCTAGTGAAGTGCTGAGGTAAGCCGACGCCCTCTGCATCCACCCGCAGAGATGATGGAATCTTTGCTTCAAGAGCTTGGGAGATTCCAAGATAGTTTGGTGGGGCTTGGCAACTGATGAGGGAGCCCATTCTGCTGAGGCAATAAAGCTGTCTGCCGAGCAGTTGGGATTGATCGGGGCCGAAACAGTTCGACTGCGCATTGTTGCTTGTCAATATATCTATCTATCTGTATGTGTGTGTGTACATATGTATATATATATACATTTATCATGCATATCTCTACATATATACACAGATATTACTTGGACAATGCCGAGGACATTCCAGACAGTATCAGAGCGCAGGCAGGGCTACCTGCAACCATCTGCAACCCACAGTCGGTGCTGCCGAAAGTCTGGGAGTAGCTGTGACAAGTGGCAGGTGAGATGTCTTTGTTAGAACAGTTGCGATCTTGTCTACTGCCGAAGCTAAGCAAGCATAGAACATGCACCCCTCAATCGCTGAAGACTGCAAAAACCCTTCACTCTCGGGTTCCTGAGACCAGTCTCACCGTTTAGGATCCACGCAATGCATGTTTGCGTTCCTTTGCTCCATCTCGCTTGAAGATGGTATCGCCTCGGCGGTCGACTGGCGGGCGCCCTCTGGCAGCATCATCCCAGCTCCCTCGCCGCCGGAGCTCATACCGTATGAGGCGGGACTATTTCGGAACAGGGGCATGCCTTGGGTTCGCTCGACCGGTTTAAGACACCTGAGGAGCAAGATGAGTTGTCAGTGCTTTCATGTTGCTGCGTTGCACTGCGGAAGACTTGCGAGACGTTTTGCAGGAGCCCAATGGAGGGCGGGGCATTCTGATCCAGTGGCCCACCATTATCCATGCAACCGCCTATGTGGTAGATCTATATGAGGAGCGGGCATGATAGACCTCAGTGATCTACAGAGTTTACGTTTCATGTTGGCCTGTAGTGATGAGAAGGTCACCTTTGTGCTGCAGATTTAAAGTCTTGCAGTGCTTCCCAGCTGATCGGCAGAGTCTGGGTTCAAAAAAAATGTTGTCAACACGAGCGCTGCGCTGGATTCACGAGGGCAAGCTGGCAGTCTTTCCTCCAAGAAGGTTTTGTTGCCCTAGAGTTCAGGAGACCTCCGGAACGATGGAGAGCTTCAAAAGCTCCGTGGCAAGGTCAAGAGCACCTCAGTACCTTACACGGGGTGAACTTCTAGGTGGCCTCCTTCTCTCTAGCTTTACACTTGCACGTGCAACTGGGGCGTGCTGTATCTAACCGTGGGTTGGCCGATCTTGGCTGGTGTTCTGCCGAGGAGCTGTTCCCGACAACTTGCGGGAAGTGCTGGTGGAACTGAGAGCCACTCTGACTCTGCAGTTGCTTTCGATGTGGGGAATCTTCAACGGAAGGATTCCTGCAAAGGTAGTGCTGATATTACACGTTTCCAGATTGCTCACCCGCCTACACCATCCCTCACTTTCAGCTCTAAGAAGGCAAGTACCCTTGCCCGCGGCATCTGTGGTTGAGGTCGGCAACTTGCAGCCAACTGGCATTTATAGCGCCTCTGTGCGCTCCGTGGCGCCCTGTGGGGCTCAATCTGTACGGAGCCTCAGGGGGAAGCCAGAAATGCTGCCGATCGCCATGAAACCTGAAGCCATGTCCCATGCACTCTCCTCACGAAGACCTTCACACTGTTTTGTGATAGCCTGATTCTGACTCCTGTTCGATTACTTTGTGGGCGGCTTATTGAACTGGCTCCACTTTCAGGGCGCGCCCCTCGCTCCAGTCAGGAAGCCTGCAGGCCCTCAACTTCTGATTCCTGAGCGTTTCCCACGTACTCGTAGCGGTTTTCGCCTGGTTCAGCTCACCGCTGACGTTAGTGACTTAGTGTGGTGGTCTATTCCGATCTGCGAGATATGTGGAGCAATGCAGAGCTAGAGACGAAGGTCCCCTCGGCATACTCGATGGCTCCAGCTCCGGCAACTCCAGCTCCGTGGTTCCCGCCACCGGCCAGCTATCCACCACCCGCTGCTAGCTACCCGCCGCCACTACAGAGCCACGTGGATGGAATCTTGTGTTGCAGGTGTCGCAAGGGCTCTTGCGCTGGGTATCGGTGTACTTGTGGCCCTAGGATGAAGGGGATTAGGCCTACATGTGGCCACTCTTGTTCGTGGTACCATGCAGCTGTACGATTTGCAGACCGCCTGCGTGGGAGTGAGCTAGCATTGCTGTGTTGTCCTCAACTGGCTCGAAACTGCGTTTCGCGCAAGGTGCTTGGGGTCCTCCAGCGCTGCTCGGAAGAACTAGCGTGCTAAGTGCTAACTAGTCTACTAAGCAGTAGTGGCAGCTGACTGCCAACGAACTGGATAAATGATTGATTGACTGACTGACTGACTGACTGACCCTAAACGATGAGCAAACTGACATACTACCGACTCCCTAACTAGCTAGCTAACTAGCCATGTAGCCAACTAGCTAGCCAACTATCTAACTAACTGAATACCTACGACTCCTGAACAAGTAAGCAGATAGCTAGATAGGTAATTAGTTAGTTAAACGAATGCAAAAATATGTCACTACACAGATAAATCAAGGATAGGCCAGTAGACAAACCAAGTATGTATGCATACATGCATACATATGTATGTGCGTATCGATGTATGCATGTATGTATATACATACATATACATATATGTATACACATATTCTTACAGCGTAGAAAGCAAGCATCCGCTGAGGCTGCCCAGCAACGGCGTGCGGCCACCGGGTGTTTCGCCGCTGTTGGCCACGAATCCTGGCCTGCCCGGGCCGTTGCCCGGCACGCCACCAGGGCCTCCGCCACCGCCGGCGGAGCCTCCCAGCGTAGAGCACGAGGCGGCGACTCGCGCGTGCTGCTGCTTGATGCTCTCGAGCTGCTCTAGTTTCAGTGTGGCATGAGGCGGCCTGGATCTGCGAAGAGCTTACGATCAGAAATGAATCAAATTGCCACGTCTGATATCCAACCAACTGCAAATAAGTTTCAAGCTCGGAGCCCTCCAGTAGCTTCGATCCCTGTCACGAGCCTGAGCACTGGGAGGCCCAGCTTCCTGCCGTTTCAGCGGCCGCGGCTCAGGGCGCCCTAGCCGAGGGCACAGCGCACGAGGCATCAGTCTGCATGTACAGGGAATGTGAGAAATGTAAAGCATGTTCATTCTCATGGCAACACCCCCTGATCCCCCCCCACCCCAGCCCCCGTTCCTGTGGATGCGGTTCCTGTTCAATCCACCTCCTTCAATCGTGGATGGTGTGGATTTCCTGGATCTACAATCTGCTGTGTGCACGGGTTTTGGGATTGGATCTGGTCAATTCCATCCTACCTGTAGGTTTAGTTGGGTTTGGGCTTTGGAGAACAGTTCTTGTCAAGTCTTCCTCCACACTGTTTGGGTGTGCCTCTGTTGCAGCCGTCTATTTGTCCGTGTACATACATACATATTACATATATATATATATATATACTTATGAATATGTCATGTGTCTGTGTGTGTTTGTCACTTCTCTATCGCGGCTTGGAACAATGAGGTCAGGCTACCGAACCCGAACTTAAAAGTTGTGCTGGCTTCCAAGCTCTGTTGAATGTCACCCTGGGCGGAGCATATATTCTCTGGCTGCTCAGCTAGACACCGAGCCGCGCGACTCCAAATCCAACTCCAGCTGAGGGTTCCGAGCCGTATCTGAAGCAACTCAGATGGTGCTCCGGCTCCGCCGCCTAGCGACAGCCACATGAAGTGTGAATTTGACGAGCTCAAGAGAATTCAAGTACCAATGTGAAGCCATTCCTCAACGCTCAGAAGGACACTTTGATTGCAGGCGCCAGAAACAAGCTTGGCTTGTAAGCCAAAAACTACGGAGCACAGCACTTGGTTCATGTCAACTGTCTTCAAATTGCACTTCCACACAACCCATCAGAAGCAATTGAAATTTTGAGCTTGATCGTTCATGCTGCAAACGAGCGTGATTCCCGCAGCTTTTAGAGGTTCATGAGTCGCCCCTTAGCGGTAGGCGCTGGAGCAGGGTCACTAAGCTCTCTATTGCTTACTCTGCTTAGCCAGCAGCTCTACTCTGCTCCTGTGTACGAGCAGCCGGGGCTCGTTGGTCAGGCGGTACACTTCGAAAACTCCACCGAGCTTCCTCCTGCTTTCTGGGTGGGCTTATTGGCCGGAGTTCTCATCGGGATCCTTATCTCTTCTTTGTTGGATTTGCTGTATTTGTTCAAGCAGTACTTATCCATTGAGCTTCGGAACCGGCTGGCTACTCTGAGTCTAAAAGGCGGAAATCGTGCATGAGCTCTTCTGAGCTCCGTGATCTCCGCAACTTGGAGGCTGCCTTCGCTCGGCTGACCATCAGGCTGGAGGCCGCTGAAGACCGGATTGCAGAGCTTGAACGCTTGCAGGGGCATTTCAGAATATTCGGTTGTCACTACCACCCCCCCTCGAGCTCTGCCAGGAAGCTCCCGCTACGCGAATCCTCCCGCTCAGGAGTACCCATCGCAGGCTTCGGCCCAGAGTGAGGCTGGACCTAGGTCCCGTCTCTCGGACAGGGAACGCCAGGAGCTCGCTGATAGCATCGGTGACTGGCTTCGTCGAGAGCTTGACGGCAGAGGAGGAGGTGTATCAGGACGAGATCGCTTGAATCTCCGCTCCAGGCTGTACGTGCTCGCTCAGGACTTCAGTGGCAACCGCTACGACCCGGTGCGAGTGTACTCTCGCCTCAGCGACCTGCGGGCGAACTTTGGTCCGGGCCAGAACCCGGCCGGAGGCCGAGGACATTCGGGACCACCTCATCGTTATAAGCGGCGAGGTCGATTTTGAGTATCCCCTGGGTGTCATCTCCGTTGGCTCGGGACCGGCACGAAAGCTCGTGGCGGCAGCGGCGATTGGCGAGAGCTCGGACGGCTCCGTGATCGTTGCATTCCCGGGGAAGTGTTGGAATCGGACTCCAGCAAAGCGCGCCCTTGGTCTCGACTTCGTTAGGAAGGTGACAGCCGCTCGTGTCCGCTGCGCGGGCGCCGAGGACCGCTCCAGATCTCTTGATTCCGAGCTTCGGGTTTGCCTTGGCTTGCTGACTGCTGAGGGCGAGGCGGCTTTTGACTTCGTGCGCGACTTCGAGGGTGAGGTCCAGATCGACTACAGCTTCGGTACCAGCGAGCAGCCCGAGCTTCTCCCCCACGCGGGTTCTCTTGCAGAGTTGGCAAAGGTGACCTTCGAGTTCGTCACGGCGGAGAGTGCTGCTCAGGAGGCAGCCCCTTCCCTAGCTCCTGCTGCGATTGAAGACCGCTTGGGCCGATTGGAGGGATGCTTCCAGAGCATCCAGGACGATCTCAAGAAGCTTGTGGCCGGCCAGAAGACCGAGGCTTCCCTCCCTCTCCGGGAGAAGGCAAAGCCTGTTGCTCGAGCCCCTCCTCCAAAAGCCTCCGGTCCAAAGTTCGAGGGACTAGACCCCCAAGTCGTGAAAGCAGCGCTGGACTCAGGTATCGACTCGAAGCACATCGAGGAGATGGGACGCTTCCTCCGGAGCCAAGGAAAGGGCATGACCGACGAGCCTCGGCCAAACATTCGGGCGAAGCTGGCTCGCCAAACCTTGGAGGCCGAGGACGACCTGGACGACGAGGACCCCGAGGACGAGGATCAACCAGAGGAGGTGGAAGTGAAGGACCCGATCCACGCCGCGGTCACAAAGCTCACGGCTATCGCTGCTCAACTGGCGGAGGGCAAAAAGAAGGAAACCACACTGGAGGCTCTGCTCGACGGGTCTGGATCGGGCGAGCAAGCCAGCTCCTCCACCTCTACCAGGAAAAGCGCAGCGGCCCTTCGTGTTCTTCGCGATCGACTTCATTCTCGCCCCCAGGAGCTGACCAAGGTCATCGAGCGGAACTTGAACGCCGACTTTGCCCTGAGGCCTTCTCTTCCGGGCAGTGCTCAGGTTCCGGTGTCGTGCCGCGCATGGTTGGAGAGCCGATCGAGGGTGCAGAACTATCCTTCGACCATAAGGTTCCTTTGGATCATCGCGGGGATCGCCGATGCGATCCGAGACCAGCGCTACGAGGAGGCCTACCTGCGGTCTCTGCTGGGGCTCGCTGCGGGAGATCAACTTTCGATCGACAGAGGGAGCTGGCATGTGGCCAGCGAGGTTCTGCTGGAAGACCCACCGCCATTTCCTTCCTTCACGTCCCACACCCTGCCAACGGGCGCGGAGGTGCCCTTTACAAAGTTGATCGACTCCAGGTGGATCGAAATCTTCGTCGCCCCTCCGCGAAGTCGACCTCTACCTGGAGTCCCGTCGGAAACTGGCCTCAGGAGTTGGAGGCGGGCAGCGACGGGTAGAAGGGCCTGGCGTTCCTCAGGGGCGCGACGAGAAGGACGAGGCCCCGCCTGGGCCAAAGAGACATCCGAAGGGGAAGGGCCGGGGCACGGCGACGGCCCCGAACGAGGGGAAGTGATTTCTAAAAGCCCAACGGGGAAGGCCACGCATAGTGCTTCGACGGAGCTGGTAAGGGTTCCTGGATCTGGTGCAACAACCGTGGATCCCGCTGCATTGTGGAAGGCTCTTCCCCGGCTTTTGCTTGCAAGTGACAATTCATTTTCTCAGTTTTTCAGCAGCTACTTTTATGAAGCCCGTGAAAGCCCTGAGTATGGGCGTACCGCATCGTCTCCCTGGCCTATGCCCCTACCGTACTTCGAGCTGTGCCAGGAAGGGAAACACAGTCTTGCTTTTGAGGCCGATGCCCGCAGTGAGCATGCGCTTAAGGCTGCTGCAAACTTGCTGGTGGCTTCGTTGTCCTGGCTTCATCTCGGCAGGCCCCGTGAAGCTCCTGCTCATATCCGAGGTGGCCGAGTTTTAGACCAGGAACAACTTGAGCATGTCAATCGGCTTGAGGAGATGATGCGAGATGTTATTTGCCATGCGCCCGTGACTGCCGAGGACATGGGGCGGGTGGCTTCGAAGATCGAAAACTTAGAGGACATTGCTCGCACTTTGCGAAAGAAGTCAGAGAAGCTGGCCACGTTGTGTCGAGGCTATGGACAAAGCGGCTCCGCCGTGCGTTCTGCGGATCCTGTCGAGATGGACTTTGTCGGCGAGGCCCGTGGTGAGATTTCAGGCACTACTACCGCAAAGCCCGTAGTCGCTTCGAGATTGGAGTTTGGCAGGCCCCCGAAATTTGACCCGGCTCAGTTCATGGACGCAACCAGCCTAGACCGCTACTTGCACCCTTTAGACCATGCTGTCCCGGAAGACGATTGTCCTGAGCCTCCACCGAAGGCGCGAATCCTGGCGACTCCGTCGGAGAGGATCGCGCTCTTCAAAAAGCTGGATCAGAGTGGGAGGCTGAAGTTCATTCCGGTGTCTGCAGCCCGAAAGCGGTGCCTTAACGGTTTGTTCAGCGTCCCGAAGTCGCTGACTGCTGACAGGATGATATTGGATGCCAGAGGCCCAAACCTTCTTGAGCCCGGGCTGAACCGTTGGACCCAATCCCTTGGGTGTGCGGAGGCCGTCTTGCAGCTGCGGCTCGCCGAGAACGAGATTCTCGTCCTGTCGGGTGCTGACCTCAAAGACTATTACTATCACTACGTGATCAGCCATCAACGACTTGTCAGGAATGCTCTTGCTGGGACCGTCGACGAGCCGATGGCCCGGACCTTCAGCTGCTTCGAGAATCACCTCTCAGGCAAGGGCCCCTTTCGAGCTGCTCTGAATAGCATGGCCATGGGGGACCTCAACAGCGTAGAGTTCGGCCAGCTGGCTCACTTATCGCTCAGTCTGCAGGCCGAGGTCTTCTTCCCGGAGGAGATGCTCACTCTTAAGTCCAGAGCCCCGCGAGCTTCAATCGCAGGCGGGGTCGTGATCGATGATTTGTTCATTGCCGAGAAGATGGATAGGTCTAGAGCATGCGAACTTGGGAGTGGGACGAGCGTGGGAGCCGCAAGACTGAAGCGAGCCGCTGATGCATATGTTCGAGGCGGGCTCCAGCAGAACCTCAAGAAGTCGTTCAGCGAACAGCTCCGGGCTGAGGTGTGGGGTGCCGAGATAGACGGGGAAGCCGGGACCTGCCGACCCTTGACTTCCAGGCTGATCCCTGTCCTGTCGATCACAGTCGACATAATCCGGACGAAGGCTGCATCCCGACACATCCTGGCCTCCGTTGCGGGGTTCTTTGTTGCTATCTTCCAATTTCGGAGACGTTGCATGTCGCTTCTCGAGGAGATCTTCAAAGCTCCGCGATGGCTCGATGAGCACAAAGCATTCCGGATCTGGCCTGCGTTGGAGGCCGAGTTGTGGATGCTGGTGTTGGTGGCCCCGGCCGTTCGGTTCAACCTTCGGAGCCGCTACTGCGAAGAAGTGTCAGCCACGGATGCGTCTGATAGTTGGGAGGCTGAAGTGTCGCAGATCTTCCCGGAGGCGTTTGTCGCGGAGCTTAGCCGCCACAGTCTTCGAAAGTCGACGTGGACCAAGCTTCTGCGCCCGGCCCAGGCTATATCTCGCCGTGCCGGAGTTCTTGACCCCTCCGAGGAATTGCCAGGCGGGGTTCCCTTTGACAATCACCCTGTGTGGCAAGCGCTGTTCCGATCCGTCAAGTTCAAGGAAGTTTGGCGCAGGAGGATCTGGAGGCCCCGGCACATTAACGTTCACGAGCTTCGGACACTGCTTGCTTCTGAGCGACGCCGGGGACTTGCATCTCCTGCCTCAAGCATCGTGTCAGCCAGCGATTCACAGGTCTCGCTAGGTGCGGCCTTGAAAGGACGGTCAGCCTCTCCCAGATTGAACGGCATCTTGCGTCAGAGCCTTCCAGAGCATCTTTCAGCCGATATCAGCGGTATTTATGCCTATGTAGGTACTTCTGACAATCCTGCGGACGACCCTACTAGGCATGCCCCTGTTCGCGATGCACGAGAAGCATTGCCTCTGTGGCTGGAGCGAGCTCTTGGCGGCTCGTATGGGGAGCTTGAGGATTTCCTGAAGGCCTATGAGTTGGACACCGTCAGTATGCTTGGGCTTCCCCCTTTCGAGGAAATCGTCCCTCTGGCTACTGCTCCTGCTGCAGTACCCCGACCTGATCGGCGACGGTTCTTTCTGGAAAGTCTGGGAAAAGACAGCCTCCCCACTGCAGCTGAGGACTTTGCGTCTGCTTTGCTGCTACGCCATGACTTCGGGAAAGAGGAGCTTCTGCGTCTTCTTCGGATGCTCCCAAATGAGTCACCGCCTCGTGGCGTTGCCGAGGAGGGCTCAGGGTCTTTTTCTGGTGGGATGTTTGTTCACGGCGGAGTGGTGGGTCTGCGCCGCAACAGCAGGAGCTACCCACAGAGCGAAAAGGCGGTGATGGACTTTGCCACCCGCTGCTTCCCTGGGCACAAATTTACGAGCTACGCTTTTCTCCAGAACCTGAAGACTCCTCTACATCGCGATTCGCACAATAGCGCTGAGAGCACAAACCTCGTTATTGCTCTTACCTCTTTTTCGGGCGGCGAGCTTTGGGTCGCGGCCGAGGACGGCGGCATCTATGAGGAGATTGACGGGAAAAGAGTAGCAGGTAAAAACCTTGGTTTTCAGTCTGGTCATGTGGAGTTCCATCCTCGCCAATGGCACTTTACTCGTGATTGGACTGGGGACCGAGCGGTTTTGGTGCTCTACAGCATCCGAGATTACCTCAAGGTTGCACTGAGCGATGCAATTGTCCTCTCCGGGGCTGGCTATCACTTGCCGAGCGAGCTTTACAAGAAGTTTCGATCTTTGAAGTTGCCCCCTCACTGCATCTCCGCAGCCAAGGGCGAGGAGTTGGTAGCAGGGAAAGAGTACGAGTTAGAGCAGGTGCGAGTCGTCGGAGCAGAGCCGCAGAGCGGAAATGTTTTCGAGTTGCCTCCTGATATCGTTTCAAGTTTGTTGCAGTTTGACTCCGAACAGTTTGTCCTCCCCAAGAAAGGGCGCAAGCGCCTTGGCGAGTTTCTTCTGCAGCCAGGGTTCCTTGACCTGTACTCGGGCTCCCGCGGGGTCGCCCATGAGCTAGCCAGAATCAGCAAGACCTGGGTCCTGACGTTCGACTACTCTAGGTCTCAGTCTGAGGATCTGCTTTCTGAAAAGTTGCAGGGGCTGCTCTTGCGACTCATCCGCGGAGGAGCCTTTCTCGGCGTCGGCGGAGGCCCAGTTTGCTCTTCGCTCTCCCGGGCCATCCGGCCCCCTGTCAGGAGCTTGGAGTACCCAGCTGGACTACCTGACGCTAGACCATCCATGCGAGAAAAGATTGACGAAGGAAATCAGCACGCTGACTTCATGGCCTCGGTTGCAGAGTTGTGCCAAGAGCTGGACCTGCCATGTTGGGTCGAGAACCCCCATGGTAGCTACCTCTGGGCCCTGCCTCGCTGGCGACGCTTTTTGGGCGACGACTGGAGATCAGTGTGCTGGGTCGTCGACTACTGTGCCTTGGGCGCTCCTTGGCGGAAGCGCACCCGGTTCTACGTGGGGAGGCGCCATGGTGGTCAGTCGCTGCTATGTCCTGGAGGTTGTCGTCATCAGCGCCTGAGCGGCTACTCGAGCCTTCATCGCCAGCAGTGGACTAAGGTTGCCGAGGCATATCCCCGGGAGATGAACACCTTTCTCGCCTACCACCTGGCAAACCGCACTCTACAAGGAACCGAGCGGCGCCGCCTTGACCTCGCAGCATGCGCCCGGTGCATAGGAGCTCGGATCGGAGAAGCCAAAGTGCCTGGACCCCGCAAGGAGCTTATCGTTGGCTCTCTTGAAGAGGTCTCGCTGGTGACGCCCACGACTGCGAAGCTCCAGAGTCGGGTCCTGGGCGAGTTCGAGGCATGGTTGCTAGAAGAAGAAGGACTTAGTGACTCTGCTCTTAGAAGCCTGTCTAGCTGCGCCATGGCCTACTGTGTCTTTCTGCGCGCATACGGCGATCATCTGTACCGAAGTGGTGGGCCTATGTATGTCTTCCGACATCTTCTGGCCTACATGCAGAAAAATAAGCTTCACCTTCGACCCTTCTTATCGCTGGGATGGGACCTGCTGTCAAGGTGGGAGCATCCAGCCTGTACGGCACCGAGTTCCGATGCCTGAAGCCCTTTTCAAAGCTCTCTTTGCCCTCGGGCTTCTGCGTGGATGGATAAGATGGTGTGCAATCCTGGGGCTCGCTTACTTTGGGATCGCCCGGGCTGGAGAGCCTCTCCGCGCTCAGCGCAGGGATCTTCTGCTGCCTTCTGATACGCTATCTGACCCTGGCGTTGGTGTCTTTATGGCTGTGCGAGCGCCAAAGACGGCTTTTCGAGGAAAAGGCAGGATTCAGCATATCTGTGTCAAGGATCGCGCATTCTGCGCTTTCTTGGAAACGGTGTTTTCTCAGGTGCCAGCTGACGATATGTTGTATCGAGGCTCGGCTTCCTCCTTTCGAAAGCGCTGGGACGAGCTCCTTTTCCTGCTGTCGGTTCCGAAGTCACTGAGCATCACGCCTGGCGGCCTTCGGGGAGGCGGAGCCGTAAAGTCGTACAGAGACGGGCTCAGCATTTCGGATTTGATGTGGCGGATGCGGGTTCGTCACTCTGCCACTCTGGAGTCTTACTTGCAAGAAGTTGCAGCTCTTTCTGTTTTGCCAAAGCTTTCTGCTGAAAGTCGACGTCGAGTCTCTGCTGCTTGTGCTTTCTACCAACCGGCTTTGAGCGCCTACTCTTTCAGCAGCGGCTAACGCTCTCGCAGCTGTTCTGGATGGCGGCGCACGCTGCCCCTGTCGCTGTGGCCGCTGGCTTACAGGTGGAACGAGGCTTGACTGCGCCTTTTTCTTGTGCAGCTGCAGTTGGCTTGCTAAGCTTTTCGACGCTGTGTGCTGCCGGCTCGGGCGTCAGCTCTAGCTTCTTACGTCTTCGACCTGTTGGGCTACGGCTGCTGAGAACAAGAGTGGGCGTTGCCCTTCGAGAGGGAACTGAGTGAGGAAGCTGCATGATCGTTCATGCTGCAAACGAGCGTGATTCCCGCAGCTTTTAGAGCCCTCCCTCCCACCCGTGGGGAACGAGGCTTGACTGCGCCTTTTTCTTGTGCAGCTGCAGTTGGCTTGCTAAGCTTTTCGACGCTGTGTGCTGCCGGCTCGGGCGTCAGCTCTAGCTTCTTACGTCTTCGACCTGTTGGGCTACGGCTGCTGAAAACAAGAGTGGGCGTTGCCCTTCGAGAGGGAACTGAGTGAGGAAGCTGCATGCTCATGCTCGTGACACCTTTGTGCAAGTTTCAAGCTTTGAGAAATGGGGATTCCATGTTGCTGCGAAAATAAAGCGGTATGTACCGGCTCCTATAGGCAGTTGCCAGCTCTGGTCCATTTGCGGGCATGTTATGAATTTGCTTGGTTCTCGCGCTTATTTGTACGCTGCTCAGGCTGCGGCGCTGGTGCTTGACTAGCCTGCGGAGACAAATTGCCGCTTGGGCAGCAGTTCTTTGGGTTGTGCGTGGTTCTGCCCCTCCAGCATATTGGACAATTCATTGCGTGGAAAATGACACAGATGAGATGTCTGTTTACACATTTTTGTCTGACCGATCGCCCCTCGCCCGTCAAAGCCTGAAGGTGAACCAGCAATTTCTGCAGCTGGCCAGATGATCCTGTCAGAGATCGTCTTGAGATGATTGTTTGCACGCGTCTGAACCTAGGCTCAATGTCCTTACTTGCAGCTGCCCATCTGTAGTAGTTGAGAAGACCCGCTGCACTTCTATCGAACGCCCCGGTATGGCTTCAAACCTTATCCAAAGCCGGGACGTTGAGCCTCCGTTATCAGAGTCGTCGATCCCGTTCTGCAGGAGCCCGCGCCGATACCAGCATGGTATGCAAAAACGCACCAAAGCAGGATACCCGCTGCTGCCGAGGGTCGGGAAGATCTTCAAGTTGCGAAGCATCGGTGGCGCAGTCTAACTCTTAAACCGCGGCTGCCTGTTGAAACGCTGTATGCCCAGAAACTGGTTTGATGAAGGGCTTGCTTGTGCTCCGAGAGTGGGCAGTGGCTGGCAAGCAGGGAAAAATTAAAAAGGAGATTGCTCGACAGCTGATTGCGCATCGTACGTAACGGATGGAAAGTTTGCGAGTATCGTGAACGGAGGCATTTCGTCGCAAGCATACCAGAGTTTCAAGCCTTCTCCGTCGCACGACACAGGAACTCAACTGGACGGTTGGGCACTTCTGTGCTTCGTGTGGGTCGTCGCGGTCGCTACATTCCATGATGGACCGAAGTTGCCACTGCCATCGGTTTGACGCGTGCATTCAAGAATTCTGAGACACAATGCCCATATGCCTCGCCTGGATTGTCCGAGTGTGAGCTCCGAAAGCGTTGCATCGGTCGGGCCTGTTTCGATGCCAGGTTCATGTCCGCATCATGGAGGCGCAGCCGAGGAAATCGGGCTGAGCCCGAGTGCTGTAGCCTTGACAAACAGCTGGGCAAAGGCGAGGCCAGTTCAACCAGAATCTGCAGGAATGCAGTCGGTGTATGGTTAGCGGTGTGGCCGGCGTTTCAATTGAGCAGGTGCAGGTGTTGGTCTATATATGCAAGCCCTTGCTGTTTGTCAGGTGGTGTTCGATGGATTTGATGCAAGGGTGGCAAAGCACACCCGATGCTCTGCTGATGAAGGATGCCGGCTTGCAAAGCGAGCACAAGTCGTTGGCAGACTCGTTTTGCGGTTAACAGCCAAACAGGGACCGGCATATCTGAGATGAGGCTTTGTGTGTGGGGGCATCGATGCTGTGTTCGGGAGAACACAGCGCAGTGAATAGCCCAAATTTGTCGATGGGTGACTTCGGCTCGTTGACCCGTGTTCTTGGCCCCACAGACAGGTGAGGGGTATGCATCTGAGGCTACTGAGCATTTGCCGCCAAGTTTCCGTAATCAGTTGCTAGACACCGGTACCAAACCAGTATTTGCAGTCACTGCTGGCCGCGAAATCGGATTGCATATACAACTATAAGATACTACAAGCATTCAAGTAGAGCGCAAGTCAACGCCCGCCTGGAAATTGGTGGAGCTCGAAGATCGAGGTGCCTCGGGCTTGGGGCATGGGTGTTTCATGGTGTTTTGGGGTATTGTGTTCAGCATTTTATAGAACAGAGCCCGGAGTCTCGGAATCCAACTTGAAAAGGTGCCTACTAGGGTCGCGAGAGTTAAGGCGAATACCCTGAATGCAAGTCCTGTGCGGCCACAGTGGCCCTGAAACTAGAGGTCTGGAAGTTGGAACCTGCGATAACCAAAGTGATGCAGTTCAAGTCGATGAACTGCGCAGGCCATGGGGTGGGGAGGCCACCGATCGCGTTCCCCGTGTCGTGGCCGCAGTGTTTAGAGGCGGTTGAATGCAAGATGCAGATGTTCGAAGCAATTACTGTAGGGTTTGGTGGCAGGGGAGTTGAGGTAAAAGGTGCAGGCAGGCAAAGCAAGAAACATCTAGACACCAGGAGGTACAGAACATCCCTTTATTGGCTCGTCGGGATACTAAGAATTGGTAGGAGTACTGTTGGAAGCTGAGGAAGAACAAAGATTCAACGCTGCAGTGGATCTCCAAGAAGCTTGCGGTCTTGGGAAGGTATTCAGACAAAAGGCTGGGCAGCTTGCTGCATGTGAGGTTTGGATGAGCAGTGCCTCAAGGTTGCAGTTCGGGGGTGTCATTAGATGCAGAAGTGTGGGCCCTACATAGATTGCCATGATTCACGACTTGATGGCAGTGAAGTCTGACCGTGAATGCTGCATAGGATGGCAATGGGTCCTGTAGAAGCAGTCGACACCTTTTTTGTGGAATTGCATGTGTTTGGGAGCATCAGGCCGCATGGCCTCCATGTGGATGGCAACGGGACCTGCCTGTAGCACCCTGTTGCTCTCGAGTTTCACTGAGACAAAGTGCAAGCAGCGACAGCGTGCCGATAATTGTGAGTCCCGGATCCTGGCTATTCTGGCAGGACTCTTTCCTTGAGGAACCTCATGGAATGCTGGGGCAACAGCCAAGGCGTTGCATCTCAAACAATTGTCTTTGTCCCATCTTCGCTTCTTCGCATAGCACGCCTAGTCGTACGATGAGGCCCTGAGAAGGTTGGCGCTTCCTGTCAGAAGGGAGGGGCAGTTAGTCGAGGTGGTTCTTTGGCGTTGCTTCAGAGGAATTTGCATACACATGCCGGTGTCCCTGCCCTACTCTGTGCAGGCGTGTCAGAAGATGACGTGCTCAATGCTGTCCGCACGAACATGACCTGTGCAAGCGATCGCCTCAGGGGTTACACACACACGCACGACGATTCCTTCAAATGCAACTTGGATGGACATTTGCCGACATATTTTGACTGCGGGCCCAACTTCAAGGGCAACAACGGCTGATCAAGCCAGCCTCCGTTGAAATCGTGAAGTCGATCTAGGATTTCTACAAGACTATGGCGCACTTTCGAGATGCACACGAACTGTGGACAGGGTGGCGAAGATTCCAGAAGCGGCTTTTCCAATCCGAAATAGATGCTGTGGGGCTTAAGCTGAGCTCGCAGGTATATTGCCGACTAAATGTACTTTCGTAGTTTTGGCAGCTCAGAGCCCCCGCGGTCAGGTTGAGCAAACAGCTCAGACAAACAGCTCAGACAGTTATAAAATAGCATTAGAAATCAGAACTATAGAATAACATATAACTTTAATATAATATGTAATTATAACTATAGTATAATACTGTATACCCGAAAACCCCATTCTAATTATAGAATTCCACACGGAAGCAAAGCTCAGGAACTGGAAGGCCACGTTTCGCCTTGTGCGGCCCTCAAGGGTTTTGATGTTTGGGCTGAAACACACACGGGTTACTTTAAAGGGCTCCCTTAAAGGGGTCTATAGTAGGGTTCTATGGTATAGGGGCTTAAATAATTACCGATACATTTTTGGGGGTTCCGTATTATAATAGAAGCATAATGGGCGGCAACACCCTATTCTAATTACAGAGGCCCCACCATTTCTGGGTTCTGGGCGCAACCTTTTGCTCCAAGCTTACCTTGTGGACGTCAGGCTGGGTGTTCCGAAGACACTGCTTTCCTGCCCTTTTTCTGAGGTCTGGGAACTCACATACAGGTGAGTGGCACA